AGTGTGTGTGTGTGTGTGTGTGTGTGTGTGTGTGTGTGTGTGTGTGTGTGTGTGTGTGTGTGTGTGTGTGTGTGTGTGTGTGTGTGTGTCACATGCTCCTGGGCAGCTCTTTTGTGTATTGTTTCTCATCGTTCTTGTGACCAGTAGGGGAAAGGAGGCGTTTTGTTGAGTCGCTACCCGCTAGCGCTTACTTTAAAGCATGCTATCGTTTCCACGTATTCTTCTTTTAGCTCCTTACAAAAGAAGCCTAATAAAGTATTACACAACAATAAATAATCCGACCCAACTGCCTGATACAGAAGCTGTCTGCTAGTTCCTACATGTCAGCTGCAGACTTTGTGTATAAACTCTTTTCTCGCCCATTTTTTATTTAACCACGTTTTATCTCCTCATGTCTCCTTTCTTTTCTACCCAAGGTGGATAATTCCAAAGTTCTCCACTATGTCGGAGCAGGCATCGCCTTCCCCACCAGCATGCTGTTTGTGTGCGTGCAGTCAGCTCTGACTTACCGACTGGCCAAGACCCAGGGGGAGTACAACGTGGCCCACCTGCGGCTCTGCATGACCCTGCTGACCTTCGTAGCCTTGGTGCTCAGTATCCTCCAGCCACTGACAGATGGCAGCCTTCAAGGCCGTATAGTGCTTTAGCATAGAGCTTATTACTGCCAGAGACATCAGGTCCGGTATGTAATGTCAAATCGTTTGTTATAGGCCTTCTTTTAAGTCTTTTACAGCTTTACTTTGTGAGTAGACTCAAATGTTTACAATATATATGTTATGGTGCATGCTTTTAAACACAGTCATGGCTGTGAAAACGTGCCATTTTGAGGAATATTTATTAGATCATTTCTTATATACCTTACACCAGGGGTAGCCCACACGTTAACTATCTTAGTAAGTACGATGTGATACTGAGTATATAAAGTGGGCACAGCATGTGGATTATATAAAAAAATTACCCGAATGTATACTACATAAACAAGAAAATCAAAAAATGCAATTGGAGCCTACGGGACATACCCAACTGCACCCAAAATGCATTTCAGCTCTTCAGGCTTTCCAATGTGGATGTATAGAAGCAGTCGACGTGAATAATGAATCATTGGATAAGATAAATACAAATGATGGCTAGTGACAATGTTGTACAGTCAAGAGGAAAAATGTGAAAACTTCCATATTCTGTAAAAAATATTTAAAACTAAACTATTTAATAACATATAGAACAAATATGTATTTGAGTGATCAGGTGGTGGTCCGATACAACCGTCTGATGCAGCCCTACTGAAAGGAGTTTGAATCTGATCAGTGTCAGCCTGTCTGCACATTGACTTACATGTCTTCTCACCGCTCTGCTGTTGTTGACCTTAACAGTGTTCTCAGGTGGTGTGTTTTTTTGTCAGGAGAGCTTCGTCCTTCAACACGCGTCGGCCATCTTTGAATGGTTGTTCTGCGTCATCATCATGTTGTTTTACGGGACTTTTGCCTTTGAGTTTTCCGGCATGTCATCCGATACCATGGTGGTGCTGGCTCGAGGGACCCTGGGACCTGCTGGGAGAGAACACAAGGTGGACGCACTGGGACCCCTGGGAGGGCCCCTTACTCACTCACAGCCACACCCACACCAACCTGAAAACATGTCCATGCTGTAGCCTGCTGGCTCACCTCGATGCCACACAGATGGCTTGTATCATCCTTTCAAACTCTGGTTGTTGAATAAGTTTAATTATTCATTTCCAGCCGCGTTCGTCTGAAGCTTTGAAATGAACCAGGCCAGTGCCGCTCATGGCAGAGTGGATTCTACGATTTCAGCCCCAGGGGTGGGGAGCTAAGCTTGTATTGTGCACACATAAGAGCTCGGTGTCTCAAGAACTTTGTATTTTGCACATTGCACAAGTGTAAAACCAGACTTCCTCCCGACGTGACAAGTAAAAGAGTATTTTATCAATCAGATAAAGAAAATGTGCTGTTCCCCTCTGAGATAATGAAACATGTCTCAATAGTGGCCTTGGGACAGTTTCACTTCTGGTGACTTCCTGAAAGCATCATTATCTACGTAGAGGAGTGACGGCTGCTGGACGGCCGAGCTGACAGTGTTACAGCAGAGGGACAGAGAGGAGAGACAGAAGAGGGTGTGAGGGTGACAGCGGGAGCAAGGTCATGCTTGTCTTTCCCACCAGAGAATAGATGAATACAAAACATTTAAATAAACCGTGTGAAAAAGAAAAGTAAAAGAATGTCTTAGTCAATCCTGCATCAAGCAATACTTTTGTTATACAATTTAAATACATTTTATGTCAAAAAATCCTTAGAATTAACATCATACTCCACGCTACATGTCTTCCTACTTCATATCGTTTTTTAAAATGTGCATCATCAACAAAATGATGTTTGAATAGCTACTCCACTTTGTTCCTGGATGCTTTGTGTGATGTACTGTGTCCTTATTTGAACCACACCCAAAAGAAACATTAGATCTGGTGCCTCGTTATGTCAAAACGTTATGACTTAAAACCTAAACTGTTGTCTTATCCCCTTTCTGTTGGGATAAATGAACCTCAAATGTATTCAACTTCCGTTCTACCAAAGAATATGAAGGAAAGATGATGCAGTGTCCAGAGGCCAAAGACGTACCAGCTAATTCAAGCCAGAGCACTGGGTTTATTGAGTTTAGTGAGCCGGTTTCACACGTCTTCCCAGCTCCTAGGAGCGCAGGTCTGCATCTCATTACTCCCCAACAAGGAGAAACAGCACACTGTCACTGCCTTATGGACAAAGGGAAGAAGGAAGGGTTTGTAATGTTACTGAGATGCTCCGTTCTGCCTCATTGTTACTTTACAGCAGAATAAGCCAAATATCATTTTGCCTGTGGCATTGGTGCCAAAACACACGGGGCCTTATCTTGTCCCTGAGTTTATCTGTGTTTATATTAACGTGTTCTGATGAATGACGGCTATAGGATGGTTATAGACGTCCACTGCTTATAGTGGAGAAGCAGGGACAGGGGGTAGCATGCTTGTGAGTGCCAGGGATACCAAAACGGATATAGCTACATTTAGATATGGCTCCCTGCTAATTGATATTGATAATTGTATCTTCTAGTGCATTTCTTATTTTATTTGAGCCCAAAATCATATTTTTTAAGATTTTCAAATTTAGTTTTTTATTCAATGTCTTTCTCTGACATGCAGTAAGTAATACAGAGTAAGGATTACTGTTTATATTTTGGGGAAATGTTCAACATCTCAGTTGAGAAAGAACACACTCTGAGCTCTCTGGTGAAAAAGCAGAGCAAGCAGAGGGTTTACAGTGATAGTCAGTTAGTAGGCATTCTCAAAATATCAAACCCTCAAACCACAACCCAGTATTAAAACCGCTTCACATCCTGTCACAGAAAGACTGCATATGAATACTGTCACGAAGACTGAAGTGGAAAGCTTGTGCACGCTGCTACAGACACAACAGCAGACACACCTGTGGTCTCTTGCTTCTCCCTACTGGTCAAACTGCTTATTGCAGGTGTTGGACCAGAGCTGTAATGTTGTTGCTCCGCTCACACCAGGTCTTGTTCTCTACTTTCCACATTCAATCACCTCCCAGGTTCATGCCAAGTCAGCTCTTGTATTACTTTTACATTTGAAGTGGAGCAAATTCTTGAAGAGCACTTGAACTGGGCCTGTTCTTTAATTCAGCAGCGATCTTCAGTTGCCTACCAGGTATTACTTTGAAGTCAAACTTGACCATGTGACACTAGTTTTGCAATATGCATTATTTTAAGTAAGTGTTATTGTCAAATGATGGTGCTGCTGATGTTGCTCTAGCAGGAAACATTTTCATTACACATTAATGCATGGTAGCAAACTCTACAAAAGCCCTCGTTTGGATTTGAACACTACAAAAATCTCTTTTGTAAAATGTTCCTTAAGACTGATTGTCATTTTGCATCCTCTTCTTTCAATGTCACACTCTTCTTTCTTTCCTCGCTCCTTCTCATTTACTGATCTGTCTGAACTTTGCACTCAGGAAAGCGTTACGACACCAGCTGCATCGTTTGATTCGCGGCAGAATGAACTCTGCTTGCTTCTGCCTTCTGTTGTTTTTTAAGGCATTTGTTCTATGACTATTTGTTATGTTTATATATGTTTTGTTATATAGGTGGTTAGCCACGATTTAATCGATTATTTTTGTTAATCAAGACTCAAGTTAAGCTTCAAAATAAAAATTCCTGTATAGTAAGCTTTTGAGAATGCTTATGCTGCTCATGATGGTTAAAGATCTGAAAGAAAAACTCACCCGTGTAATCAGTAGATCATTGGTGAGACTTTTCTGACAAACTAGCATCTATAAAGCTCACAGAAATCTCTTACTCAATACTGTTGAAATGCAAAATGCTCCCTATGTGCCTTTATATATTATTTTGATTATGAAAACCAAAGAGGTTTAGGTTGTAAATAATTATATTTGGATGAAAAGTCATATGATTGTATATTTGCCTTAATGTTGAACAAATAAAAATGTTCCAAAAACAATCATTCTCTTTATGTAATGCAATTCTATCTTCTGCATGTAGCTCTTATCTGTGATGAAGAAAGAGGGCAATCCATTTATATCTTTTAATTTTCTTTATTGTTTAATTATTTACATTGTCCAGATTCTCTTCCAACAGAGTCAACACAGATCAACACATTAAATAGAAAACAATGTCTGCTGTAAAAGAAAGCACGGGTTGTTACAATAGCCACAAAGTGTGCACCTCTGCAGACATGAAGGTTTGAGGTGAGCACTGTTCACACTTCCTCTACCTATCAGAAGGAAACCATTTGATTAAATACTTTAACCATTCAAGGTTCGAAATGCCTTTTGAGAAATACATTTGAAAAACCCTTTTTGCAATCTAAATCCACAAGGGAGGATCTCAATTTGCAATAAAGATCTGCAGAGAACTTAACATCATCTCAAAGATAAAGGTGATCTGCATCCACACCATGGTATTATGTCAGATAGAATTAAATGGTCAACAATGCAGCAACTATAAGACATCAGTGGTGAACTAAATGCTTAGCCTCAACAGCGTGCAGCTTGATAATCCACTTCAAAGAGAAGAGACTGATTAAGACTTTAAGTGTTTTGATAAAATGTATAGACTCTTTAACAGCAGCGGGCCTACAGGTAAAAAAAAAACCCATTTAAAAATACAAATCAGCCAAGCAGAGGCTGAAAGGATGACAGCAAAGAAGTGCAGTGTGAAAACCGCATGGCTATTTACTGATTGTAACTCAATGTTGAAGAGATCAGAGCCCTCTCCACTGTAATGACCTGTCTGGACTTACAACAGTGATGGTAACAGTGCAAACAGCTTCCTGTAGCACACATTACAAATTAAGACTTAGAAAAAAGGAATTTTACAGTCATGAAGCTGAGCCTTTGGTTGAGCAATAATTACACTTCGTACATATTTATGTTCGTCACTGATGAAGTAAATAAAGCACTGAGGTGGTTTCTGTACATCATACTGATCAAGTAAAGGAACATTTGCAGCTTTGAGGTAAAACCCTGATTCTAGTGGGTTAGAAATATCTATCTTCAGTGGATTCTATTTGCTGTGTTGTTCCTTTACCTTACCAGGGAAGATCTTTGACTAGCGATTGTACCCATATTTATAAAGCACCAATAATTGGATGTTCAAGGACGGGGGGAAAGGATTGGTTACTGAGATGTCCTCTGCAATGCCTGTCTACTACATTACATGACTACAACCACTCGTGCATATGATGATAATCCTCATCTCTTTTAATCTTACTTATCGTTAACGTTGGCTTTGGTTCTTCCTATTTAAAAATGTCCAATCAGTTGAAGCAGTCGTAGCCAAGAAAGAGGCGCCTCAAGGAAGAGCAGGTGGAGTATTTAGTACACAAGCTTTTTGGGCATCTCCCAAGTAAACTCTGGTCGACCAAAGTGGCCGTAGGAGGCTGTCTGCTGGTAGATGGGCCTCTTCAGGTTCAGTTCCCTATGGAGGATACAGAAGAAATACAACATCACAGGTGAGAAGACTGTTAGCACGTCACAGGATAATATCTGGATTGTTTTTGTAATTTTATCAAAGTAAAAGTCAACTTTATTGTCAATCTTTCAGTTTGTGTACAGACAGTGAGATCGAAATACCGTTTCCCAGAATCTCAAAGAATACAAAATACAAATATATATAAAAATATGTATATGCATATATATAATCAATCAACAGACACATTTAGCCATATGCACACATTAAAGACATCAATAAAAGCACAGCAATCAATATATAAAAAATAACAGTCACTTCAAAATCTGTGAAATCTGTGAAAAATGTACATTAGTGCATTACATTAGTACATTTTTTAAATGTATGTAGTTCTGGTTGTTCACACTATGGCTATGATCAACTGCAACTCATGTGTATTTAATATTGATCAGACATTTCGCCATGAGTTATCTGGAGCATCATTGTTTTTGTTTTGTGTTGCCCTTTGCAATTGAGTCTCTGTAGGGAAGGGCATTGCAAACTATCTTATGTTATAATTGTTGGTTCATAACTGAATGTTCAAATGATTGTATGTTGTTATGCACGAAGCATGAAATAAAAAATAGTTGCGGTGAATGTAAATGTAGAAACTATGTGCACAATTTGAACATGTTCAGCTCTAATGGCCCCTAGTGGTAGTAGACACAAATGCACATCACCAGAAAAAAACACACATTTTCACTTGTCTGATTTTGCCCCAAAAAGAAACCTAGTCCTAGGCCATCGGACTAGGCGGCTTCAAATGTAGCAGCTTGACACAGTCTTGCATAAAGGTCATATAGTAATGTTTACCTAACAATGACTCCTGGACGCAGATCAAAGTTCTTGTTGACAATCCGCAGCAGCTCTGACTCTGATCTGTCGGAGGAACCGTAGGTGAAGACGGAGATGGACAGAGGCTGTGCCACTCCGATAGCATAAGATACCTGTAACACATCCAGAAAGGTCAAAGATCAGCCCGTTAATGCTTCAAACACCACATCTACAGCCTTTACTCCCTCATCCATTTTTAGATGGGTGAAATATTGACGCTGTACGCTCACCTGAACCAGAACTCTCCTGCAGAGTTTAGCTTTGACCAGAGACTTGGCCACCCAGCGAGCAGCGTAGGCAGCAGAGCGGTCCACCTTTGAGAAGTCTTTACCGGAGAAAGCTCCACCACCGTGAGCGCCCCAACCTCCGTATGTGTCCACAATGATCTTCCTGCCTGTCACACCAGCATCACCCTGTTGAAGAAAGAAGGGAAGGTGTTATGTACTTCAGGGCTGATGGTATGGATGCAGATTTTGTCTTTTTTGTCCAGTTAATTGCATTTCTAGGGACATTTCATATCCATAAAAATAAATGGGCTGACTCCAAACCAATTTTTAAAAAATGTCTATCAAGAATGTATTATAGAATTTAAATATTAGCACTATTAAAAACATTAGGAATAAGAAGGCAATCAAAACCAATTTGATATTTAAAAAATATTTAATCTGAAGTATCAAAACGTATTTTTCTTTTTTCTTTACTTTATGTAATGTTTTGTTGCTTTGTATGTCTGCCCCTGGACTTTGTTGTATGTAGAATGTATGATGTTCATGTATGTTTTGAATAAATAAGTACAAATAAATGAAAAAAATTAAAATAAGGTAAGATGAGTAAAAATCAGTGGCTTCTTAAGTGTTTGATTGTTTACTGATCGGAATAAGCAGATGTGTGTGATGTTCACCTGAGGTCCTCCAATGACGAAGCGACCGCTGGGCTGGAGGTGGTAGATGGTCTTGTCGTCCAAATATTTAGCAGGAACCACAGCGTCGATCACCTGAACAAATCAATGCGACATTAAAACCAAAGAGGTGCTTTCATCAGAGGCCGGTCAGGTGTGCTTATGAGGCTCTACCTTCTCCTTGAGGACCTTCTTCTGTTCCTCCAAAGTAACAAAATCGTCGTGCTGGACGGAGATTACGATGGTGTGAACTCTCTTAGGGATCACAGCTCCGTTCTTCTGGTCATAATGTACCGTCACCTGTGGGACACACAAGAAAACAGTTGGTGTTTATTATAATTACTGACTGATCTGTAGTTCTCTCCATTTTACCGCTGCTATTTATTTTCCTTTGCAGATCCTCACCTGAAACTTGAATGAGAGTTAGGCCTGATATCGTCTGACACAGCTCATAGAAAATGAGTGCATCTGCATTGGCAAGCTGACTACATAGTCAATTCCTTAATATTCCTTTGTCAATAAATATATATGTGCTTAACCAAATGTGTTCTCTATTTGAATATTTTACCTACCATCTCTTGACTGACTTTGTATCAACTTATATTAACCAGCAGGGACACAAAGGCACCTAAGGTCAATGTTTTTTTCTGCTGGTATCTTAACAAAACTCTCAGAAGAAATCCGGAGTAGAAACAAAAAACTGTTACACAGAAGACATATTGTGAGGCAAAATGTTGCAAGTCTTGTAATATAATTCATAAACCCACCTGTGTTTTAGAGTCAGGGCGCAGCCAGGGGACGGATCCGTCGCGTCTGAGTTCAGCCATCTTTGAGTTGAGTTTGTGAGCTAAGACGATGGTGAGAGGCATGCACTCCTCAGTCTCATCTGTGGCATATCCAAACATCAGACCCTGCAGAGAGAGAGCGACAGAACTTAAACAGAAGATGTATACTGTATAATGAAAAAGATCGTCATAGAAGAAATAGCAATCTTGAAATAATCTTTTTTTAAAGGTAGAAGATTAAAAAGCATTGATATTCATTGTTCTTATCTGTGGTCTCTGAAGAGTCAGATATAGGCTGAGATAATAAATAAAAGTGCACTCATATAGGTGAAAAGATTTTAAAATAAATGTAGCATTAAACAATTAGTAGCCTAACCTGTGTTTCCATTATGTAACAATAGCATATGTGGTTCCATTTTGATGTTACTTACCATAGACTGTAGCCAACCGCCCAAAAGTGCATGTTTAAAAAGGTTAAAGGGAAAAAGTTGCCCTACTTTGCTTCCCCGATGAAGGTAAGTCAACAGGTTGAGGTTGCTAACATGGCATCGTTGAACTTTATTTTTCTGTCGCTTATTATACATTATTATTTTTATTGTTGTTGTACCTGGTCCCCAGCTCCCATGTCCTCCTCCTCTCTGTCAATGTGGACGCCCTGAGCAATGTCGGGACTCTGCTGCTCCAGAGCCACAAGCACATTACAGGTCTTATAGTCAAAACCTACGGAAGGAAAGAGAATGAGATGGAGAAGGCTGACACACAGAGCATATTTTACCTCTATTTTATTTAACGTTCAAGTTGTTCTCTCACCTTTTTCAGAGTTGTCGTAGCCGATGTGTTTGATGGCGTCCCTCACCACCCTCTGGTAGTCCACATTGGCCCGAGATGTGATCTCCCCGCAGAGCAACACCATGCCAGTCTTACACACCGTCTCTGTCAAATCAATACATTACATATCCGTTTAAAAACCTGAAAATCTATTCATGGGTCTATTTTTGCAACGCCATAACCGGCATGATTGCAGTTATCAGAACACACACAGCGTCGCTCTGCTGAGAGGTAATCTTCAGACACTCAGAGGTCGATATTGAGATACAATAAATCATCTCAGCAAAGACAATGATGTTTGTTTACACTCATCTTTTTCAAAATTGACCGAATGTTGCCCTTTGTCCTTAAAAGAATATCTAATAAACAAGTTAAGTTATTGATGAACCTTATCCCTCTCAGTCCCCATGTTCAAAAAACAAAACCACTTGTTCTGATGTCCTGTTTAATAAGCCATATGCATAGTAAGAGGTGGAAACCATTACCGTTACTTTTGATACTTTAAGAACATTTTGCTGATTAATATTCTGTTATTAATTAACATTTTGAATTCAGGACATTTACTTGTACTGGGATATTATTGGATCTTGCAGTTTTTTGTCACAATCCATAACTATGGATAAAAAATATCAAAAATGTATTCTGCTAGTTTTGTCTGCAACTTTATTTATATTTTCTTGATCGACATAGAATATCTCATACACTCACCACAGGCCACTTTGGCATCTGGGTCCTGCTTCAGGTGAGCATCCAGGACAGCATCACTGATCTGGTCACAGATCTTGTCTGTAGAGAAAAACAAGCAGGTTAACATAAAGGCCACCAGTTTATATGAGATTCTGAAGCAGATTCCAGTATTTGCAGAACAGAAAAAACAATATATATTGAAGCATAATAAATGTAAGTTTTGCTGATTTTTATCTTAAAGGTTAAATATTTATATTTCAAAACGAACATGTTGGATTTGAGTGCAGCAGCACTCTAATAATAATAATATAATAATAATAATAATAACATTATAATAATAATGCCTCTCAAACATCTCCATTCATCTTTCTCTCTGCCCTCCTGCTGAGGCAATGCAACACACGCGTTACATCAGAAACAACAACAAACACCTGGTTGCATCGGCTCAACACGACCCTCAGAACCTCAAACTATAGCACTCATTTACAAATATGGAGCAATCCAAATCAAATCAAATCAAGTTTTATTTATATAGCACATTTAAAAGCGATTTTTGGTCGAGCCAAAGTGCTGTACATGTAATAAAAACACATGACTACAATCACAATAAAAGACAATCATTTACAACAGAAATATAAAAAACAAAAACACAGCGAATAGTCAGGTGTCATACTCCGCTCTGGAAGGCCAGGGAGAAGAAGTGAGTCTTTAGTGAGGATTTAGAAACCCCTAGTGTCTGGGCCGACCTCACATGGAGGGGCAGACTATTCCAGAGCCTGGGGCCAGCTGCTGCGAAGGCTTGTGCCCTCAGGTTTTGAGCCTGGTCTTGGGCACTATCAGCAGCAGCTGGTCAGCAGACCTTAAAGCTCTGGCTGGGGTGTAGCGCTGGAGGAGTTCGGCTATATAGGCAGGAGCCAGCCCATTAAGGGCTTTGAAAACAAATAAAAGGATTTTAAAATCAATTCTGAACTGAATTGGAAGCCAGTGTATTGAGGGCAGAATTGGGGTGATGTGGTCACGCCAAATCCAAAAACATTTGATTGTTTTCATCTTTACTGTAGGTTGACTTTGCAGTTGTGTGCAGGTGTATGTCTACATGTCTTTCAGTCCAAAAAGTTCCCAATCTGTGGGAACAGCCCAGACCTCGAGGTGTTATCAAACCAACGCTGTGTGCTGCAGCTCTCCACCAAGGCCACACACCTTTGTGAATGTGCTAAACGCGGGATATAGAGTGTTGAACCTTTTACTTTTATATTTAAGCTGGTCAGTGATTAAATGCCTTATTAACCTACTGCTAGTAAATTGCATCTGTAGTGAACAAAAAGGTATGAAAATGTTGGTCTTGCCATGTTTTCTAGAAAAAGTGCCATCTGCTTTTCTTCACACTACTCCCGTTAGACAAGCTGCATGCTAAAAAGATCCTCTAATATATTTGTTGGTTTTGGGTTATCATGCATTTTGGCTTTTCTTTCAATTTCTTATCACTGGTAACAAGGTCTTTAAAGTTTTTAAAGACCTGAACGACTTAAAGTTATGTCTACTCGAGTACAAGTATGATATTTTACACACTAAAGATGTAGCCCTCTTTTTTGCCATGTTTCAATTGTTTTCCCTTACAATTAATAATGAAAAATTGTAAATATCATTTTTGCAAATTAATCATTTGTTTTCAATAATTGGAGCTTAAAGTTGTCACTTTTTCTGTCAGTCTATGTAAAGCTGCCCAACCTTTTTTTACCTGCGTTTACTGATTATTGATTTAGTAAAGAGGACTTTGTAACATATTTGTGAAATGATTACAACACAAGTTGGGGGTGGTCTAAAAGCAGAACTTTAGAGGGTAGAGCACATTTTTAGCTTTTCTGGTTTTCTGGTTGGACAATCTTTCTTAGGGCACACTATTTTAGTCCTCCTATTGAGCATCTATGAACAGTATACAAACTTTGAATACATGTGAAAACTGTAATAGAGTTAAGCATCTAAAAATACCTAATACACCAATATTTTTTGCAAATGCCCTTAAAAATGTAGCAGTCTCCTGTTATGGGACATTTACAGCTGTTGACAAATACATCTGCTAATTCAATCACAGTTAGACCGTTACAAACCATGTTGTTAATATGGATATATTGCTGATAAATGCTAAATAGGGTGGACTTAAATGTAAGTATAGCCAACATGGAATTGTTACTTTTTGGACTTGAGTAACATTTCATTAAACATTTTGAAAGGCTGACAGCTTTGTTCTGTTGCAGCAATGTACTTGCATTTGTGACTGACTTGTCTTATCAACATGCCAGTTGTATCCCAGCATAGTGCACACAAAAAAGAGATACTTTTTTTTACTCCAGCGTGTAACCTTACACCACCGTCACACACATTTATTTCCTGCTGCCCATATGTGAGAGTGTGAGAGAGGGGCAGTAAACACATGTTGCTGTGAATGGAATACCAACCATGCTTGGAGAGAAAAGCACCGTGGAGCTATTTTGGTCTTGACGTCTAACTTGTGTGATGTTTATTTGTATACATGTCCTTATTTGCAGTTTTAGTAAAATGGTTAACATATTCCTCTGTATACAGAAACAAATAAAAATGGGGTTCCTTAAGACTGTTATTACAACAGACTTGGCCAAGGTGTGACATATCTTAGTAAACACTTTCACACGCTTCAGTTTCAGTGTCCCTGTTTAACCCAAAGGTAGTTAAAGTTGATTGGAGACTCACCTGGATGTCCCTCTCCTACGGACTCCGATGTGAACATGAAAGACCCATCGTCCAGGCTGTCACTCATTTTTTCTGCAGGGCCAGGTAGTCAGCTAGAGTCTCAGGGAGAAGAGATTCCTCAGTTCCTTCCACAAGCAGCTCAGAGAGATCTGAAGGTGCTTTATATTCCTGCTAGCTCTTCTTTGAGAGAGAAATTTAATAAGGGAGGCAAACAGCCCTGCAGCCACTACACAGTCTATTTTACAAAACTCCACGTCTGTGTTCACATGGCCCAATATATATGGTCAAGAGAACACACACACCGGGGACACACACTTACACACACACGCACACACACATACACATACACACTTTTGTGAATACATGGGACAGTCCATGTCCAGGGGGGAGTGGATGATGGGAGGGTCTTCACAGCTTGTGGAAACTGCTTGTTAACCCCTTGTGTACAGTGAGATGCTTCAGTGTGTGATTACTGTCATCACTTTTGCTTTCAGCTCTGTTTTTGTGGATCAAATGTTGTATGGGAGCTAGAAGACCTTAATTAGGGGGACCCCCTCCCCCGTCACCCACCGGGACAGTTCTGTCTGGGACACGGCCAGGTCAGGGCAGCCTATGGACAGAGGGAGAGAAAGGTTGTTGTTGTCAACAAAAAAAAAAAATGATGCAACTATTCCTGTTTACATGATGTTCTGAGCAAAGTTAGCTTGTTCATTAAATATTTAACTAGAAACCATGACATATGAACGTAAAACATGCAGAGCTTCAGCAATTAGTTGTTGGTTGATTTAATTTCTTTATATGGATCAATGGTTTTAATAAATTTTCAAGCAAAAAATGACAATTTGATGGTTCTATATTTTGCTGCTTTCTTTGGTCTTACATTAATGTAAATTCTCGTGTGGAAAGTGACTTTGGCGCATTTTCAATACAGCGCGGAGCGCGGTTTAAGCGTGCTGTGCCGTGCCCAGCCCGTTTTTGGTTGCGTTTCCACTAGGCTAGTTCCGGCTAGCGGGTACTCTTTCACAGTTTTCTGGCTCTCCAAAATCGAGGTTCTTTCCGGGCCAACAACCGGGCTGAGTATGCTAAACTAGTGAGAGAATCGCTGGCAGCTACAACAAAATGAACATATATTTTACCGTGATTTAATTGTAATACAAGTTTCAAAATGATGCCGAAGTAACAACATACTGATACCGGTTAGTAAAAACCATGAATTAATGCTTTGACAAGACGAGTCTGCAGACAAGACTGCAGGCGAAAAACCTTTTAAAATGCGTGTTTTCTGAATGGAGATCGGCTAAGCTAACGCAGTATATGCTCCGAACGTCCACACTCACAACAATGGCCTATACAGACATAAATAAACCAGCGACTATATTCGCCATGACACAGACAGTCTGTGGTTTGTACTTGTTTAACTTTTGTCTAGTTTCTGAACAGATATGAGGAGCTGTGAGCTTGAGGGCTGACAGCTAACGGCTGATCTTGGTTTTGTGTTTCGCATTGAAGATGACTTCACGGCTCCGCCTACACTGCGTTACAATAGTTACTGACCCAGTTCCTAAACTGTAATGGAAACGCAGCATAAAGTGAGCCTGGCCTACCAAGGCCTAACTACCGTACTAAGCCGTGCGAGGCAAGTGGAAATGCGCCATAAATACATAAAGTCTAGTACTCCACTTAAAATAAGTACAAAAATGTTAAGTACTGTAATTACCTGCCTCAATTTCATCCTTTTACTGCATTACATTTCATGCGACTGCAATAGTTAACTATGCAAATTAAGATTTTGCACAAAAAACTGATGTTCAGTTTTTTTTATTTAATTGTTGCTACATAATGCCTTTTATTATAAAACGAGCAGACTTCTAATGCAAGCTTGTTGAAGTGAAGCCAATGTCTACTACTTAGTGCTGTGTTATTAATTCTTTAGAAATGCATAATACTTTGCATATTAATCAACAAAATGATCAACTACAGGTGGAAGAAATGTCTTGAAGTTAAGAGTACAATATTTCCCTCTGAAATGAAGTGGAAAGTAGTTCAAAGTACCATAAAAAGTATTTCAAATGTGTACTTCTGTACAGTACCATGCATTTAGTAACTTTCCATTACTGACCGTAATTGCATTTGGAGCAGACAGTCACCTGTTGTCTAAATGCTCTTTTCCATCAAAGTCCCAGCCTGAGGGTCTTGTCTCGGTACACAACTGCAGAAAATACTGAGCCATTTCCTGAGAGAAGATCAAATAATGAAGATGTGTCTCTCCGATAGCTGGTGGCCTTTAAGGTGACCGACACTGTGCCTGTGTTTCAGTGTAATATCAGGGAGCGTATTGCACTGTGTGTGCAAGAGATGCTCACAAACAGGAGCCTGCGGAAACAATGGGTCTGTAATCTGAACACAGACTGAACCTTTTCATGTGGCTCACAAGCTCTGCAGACAGTGAGATAAACAAATGTCTCTTTATTGTTGTGTAAACAGAGCAGAGAGACTAACCCTTTCTCTGCATCTCTCATTCTGATTTCAGCTGGTGATAACCTTGTGAAATTAGGGGCGAACATTAACAAGCTCTTATTAGTGAATGTTATGCCATCTGATTCAAGCGTCATTAAGAACACAAGCAGCAAGGCAAAAAGCATGATCAACAGTTCATAAACCATGGAGCCAATGTAAGCTGTAATTGCATGTTTCATGAATTTTAAGATGGGTGACCATAAGAAACAGCTGTGTTAATATAAAGATGAATGCCATTAAACTAGGGAGCCGATCCTCCCGTAGGCCAGCAGAAACAAATCAAACCTGGATAGTCAGGGGCTGCGTGCTGAGTGGGATTTAAAACGAAATAATTCACCAAATAATAAGCCAATCTATATAATATACTATTCAAGTTCTTGCCCTGCCTAAACGGCCTACCCAAAATGAACTATTTCATATTGCGATAAACTAGTTAGATGTGAGCCGAGACGATAAAATAAAGGTTTCCAGAAATAACAACCTGAGGCTAGCTTAAAGTAAACAGTGCAAATAATTAAAAGCTTTGGATAAAAGCGTCAGCTAAATGCAATGTAATGTAATGTAATGTAATTAGTTAAATCCACAGAGTTCATGCTCCTTAGGGGCCCAATTAAGGAGCCCAACACTCACTGTAATCTGTAAGGCATAACACATGAGAAACCCGCTATAATCTAGATACATAGTGATGTTCCTACTACTTCCTGGCCTTTGTTTGGCCTTTTTGTGTTGGCAGAATTTTGTCTTTTATTTAAACTTTTCAAACACTCAAATGCTTTGAGCGGATTCTTTAAATCAGATAAGCCTTTTTTTGTAAATCTGTTCAGTCTAAAGTCCTTGGCAAGTTTGCCAGAATTAAAGAAGAAGGATAAACTGGACATTGACTTGTATTTAGTTTGTTGTTTAGAGTTAACTGAATCATTAATTATCTCAAGACACACAAAATGTGCTGGCAAGAAAGAAAAGTGGGGTTGATGTTGGGCAGCAAAACTATTCTGCTTGGTATCACTATTTTATTCATACTGTAATCACATTGTTTACATCGAGAATGTACAGCATGTTGTTGTTGCTGATTAATTGTTTATTGATAGATGTATTGCAGCTGCAAGTAGCTACTCCAATTCCTTTTTGCAGTGCCAGACGGTGATAGCTCACTCTAAAATCAAGGTTTTGTTAGAAAGCATACTGTGACATTATTTGGTTTGAGCGCACCCGAATCTACTTAGAAGTGGCCTGTCGTAGAAGACAAAGGGTCAGAGGTCAGGGACAGGTTAATGGGAAAAACAGATCTAGATTAAACCACATGAGCCAGTCTGAAGAGACACCTCTGTTTATTTTGGCAGAACTACAGTCTGTGCACCAGGATGAAAACACTCAAGACACCAAACTTGTTACGTGAACACACGTGACACTGACTCCTCTCTGAGTTTGTTTGCTTTGCCTCTAATCATTTGTTAATGACTGACCAGGAAGAGGCTTTTTTTTTGTCTAACAAGATCGTTCTAGTTATGTTGAAAGATAACTGCTATCAGAGCTTTGATAACGTGTCAGCAAGCAGAGGATGAATGTGAGCAGGAGAATCAAGAATTTAACCCAGGTAATACTATGGCCCTTAAAATGTAGCTTTTCTGTTTTCTGAATCAGGCTGACATGAAGCTAGGAATGGGATTATAAGTCACTTGAGGCATTTAAGTGCTTTAGTTTAGTGCTTTAGTGCTTTAGTTTTTATTCTGCAGGAAAAACAATCCAAGCAAGATAAACAAAGTTATTCCACATTTCCTGCAACTACAGTGTTGAATAATTTCATACGTCTTAAACTTCTTTATATACTGTATCTTTCTTATTTTTTCCTTGCTACTATGTACTTTTACTCCACTACAATTTAGAGGCTAATGTTATTATATTTACCACTATATTTACATGTTTTTAACATATTATACAACATTATATACTATACTATTACGTTTTCATGACTTTTTATACTGTATAATGTGTTTACATTTTCTTTTGGCATACAATACTACATCTTTTTTTACCACTTTCTTTTCTAAATACTATACTATTACATGATTTATGACTTAAATTCTAGAGTGAGTGCCCACATGTACTTTTGTTTACTGATTCTGCGTCATTCAGCGACGATTCATTTAACTTATTATAGGCTAGGTAAAAGAGGGAACATCAGGTCATTTCTTTACATATTCAAAAAGGAGAGCATTCCTGCCAAAAGGTCGGTTTGAAGAGTTGAATCTATGAAACATACTGCGGACACACTCTAGATTAAGTTTAAAGTTCAAGTCCTCCTGAACCTTCGTCCACAGAGCCGCTGGGCGCCTCAGGAGTTAAAGAATAAAATGATAAATGCCCAATGTTGCTTGAGGAGTGTGCATTTTGTATCAAATCTATATTAAATTGTTTAACAAGTATCTCACCCAATGGCCATCCAGTGTTTAAATCAGGAAGCATTCAAATCCTCTTGATTTAAACACTTACTTCAGACAAACTCACATTGTGCATTTTTCATTTAAATACTAACATTATGGAGACTCTTCCATGTTACATATTATAAACAAAAAAACGATATGCCCAAACCAATCCTAAATCCTACATGACAGCGTCTCCTCCTTCTCTCTGATTGGCTCCATGATACGTGTGTCATATTGATCCTTTTGCATTTCAATTTAAAAGCAGGGGTCAGGGTTTTGGGGTTTTAGAGTTAGTCAGATTCAAACTTGCCAGAACAGGATGAGATAAATGAACCCTGGCAGCGACTGGGGCTGTTAACACCTGTTTGTCTTTCCGCAGGTTCAAGGACACGCAGTTTGCCTCTGCAGCTACGCACTGTGTCTGTCTGTTTACCAACCAGTTTCATCTGGATGTCAGTCACAGCAGGCAGGATCATTTGGATATTTCCAGTCTTGAACTTGTTTAGCTCGGTTAAGAGACTGTGGAGTGTGCATATTGTGTTATATAAGGATTTACATGTCAATTAAGAGTAGATAATCCACACTGCCTGTCACCAACATTACTGGAGATTTATAGCCATCACTGTTATTTTCTGAGTTTTACAAACTTTTTCGCTACAGCTGGCTTTCTGTGTTAAGAGCTATTTCTATTGTGTGTTCAGTATTTATCTACATTTTGTCTGTTTACAGGGTGGAATTTTGTAGTTATAGAAACATTGAAATTACCAATATTTCTCATACAGAGTTTTTGAAGTGAAAACAAAGAGTCGAATGCTGCCTGTCGAATTGAACTTTGACAATTATTAATGTTGCACTCGCTGTCCTTTCTCTCTGACTGCCCACCTTGCTCTCTGATTGGTTTCGCTTGCACAGTAAGAGTTTAACAGGTCAACCAATGTCTGAAAACGAGAACTCCATACAGGAGGTGGGGTGCAAATCTTCAGCTGTGATTGGCTGCTGGTCCCGCACTGTCCCCATTAGAGCACTATCGGTCCAAGGAGAGGCTGTTATGTATTTGTGTGTATGTTTGCATGTGTGTGTGATAAGAATATCAGCTGGTATAATCAGACCAGGCCGAGACCTAACTGAAACTTACATATTGATCATTGTGATGTGTGAAATGTGCCTATAGCCTTCACAAATGGCCGACACTTTGTTATATAGTTTTTTTTTGGGACCATTGTATAGTTGATGGAAGGAAATGCTTTTCAACTACAAAAACAAGCATGTAGGCAAGAAGGCAGACCCTTTCACACACACCGCCCAGCATGTGTCCGAGGATAGCAACAGCTGGGCTCCTGGAGTCAGAGGGTCAATCTTTCCCTTCTCTATTCCACCCGTTTTGGACCCTCAGCACATTCCCCACTGCCACCAATGAGGGAAATATTACCACAATACCATTCCAGCAATGCACTTTTGTCTCTCACACACACACACACACACACACACACACACACACACACACACACACACACACACACACACACACACACACACATCTGCTATCTTCACTGGCTGTGGTTGTAAAAAGGGTAATAAAATAGAGACAGGATGTTTTTGAAGATGAACTTGATATGAAGGAGTTTACCATTCAGAAATGTGCCTGAGATGATATTTTTAATAATATAATGTTATTGATAATTACATTTTCGTTAATTATAGTCAAGTCGGACACATTTCTGATAATTGAGCAATCAATATAGTCATAAAAAGAAAGAAAAAAGCAGCTTTGTTGAGTATTTGATGCTGAACTAGTGGTGTTAGATAGCAAAATGGATATATTTTTGGTCCAGGGCAGGGATTGAGTGAAAGAACGCATTTAAAAAAAAAATGTGTGTGGTTTCATCGGTAATGAAAATAACTGTTTGCCCTGCAGCCTCTATCGAATTCAGCCACTGAGTATATTGGGTGTAATTGCTCTGTAATGTCACTGACCTCCTGCAGGGGGCGGTGTTGCTCTAAGCCATGTCAGCTGGAGAGTCTCAGGACCTTTGCAGCAACTTTGGTACTGACCAGAAAAGTTAATTATTACAAATCTTACAAACATATTTGTTATTCTCTCAATCAGCACATGTATTTCAGCGGTAAACATAAGACCTTAACTTGGTGTTTATTAATTAAACTTATATGTTAACATCTTGAACATAATGAAGGTGACATTGCACCACACTGAACCTGGTACTGAGGATTCAGATTAACGTGAGCCTTGTTTCACAACAGTCTTTGAGGAATTCCCTCCATGTTACGTTCACATAACCAAAGCTTTTCACCGGGATTGGATTTATCTGAGTTTAGAGGGTTTAAGGGGCTGGTTGCAAACTTCAGATTCCCCTCCACATTAGCAGCGAGGCACAGTCTGGTGAGTATCACATTTTTGGTTGAGCTATTGTTATTTAACTAAAGTTTAATTGTAGGCCATTAGAAACTCTATTATGAAATCTAGTTGGTATTTTTCTTTTGGTAACATGTTTAGGGCTACAACTATTTAATCAAACTGCAGATTCGTCTTTGGATTCATTAGTTAATCATTGGGTCTATAAAATGTTAGAAAATAGTTCCTCAAAGTCCAAGATGTTTTTAAAAACCCATAGATATTCAATGTGACTTTTTATGTGGGTTAGGGTTAACCAACTATTCTATAAATCCATTGATCTTTGCAGCTCTTTATTTCTTGATCATCAAGTAAAACAATTAGATAAAAATATGAACAAAGCATGCACCTGCTTTGCTTTGTAAAGAGATAAATAACCATGCTTAAGTCATCTAGTACGTTTTTTTGTTGACATGTTCTCTTTGTAGGGGGGCTGTGGAGCGAGTTTAGGGTCATGGCGAGCGTGACCACGGTCCTGAAGGCGGTGGGCCTGTTTGTTGTAGAGCTCATCAGCTCCGTCACAGACTTGTTCCAGACCAAACCAGCATGGGCCAACCTGAAAGTGCTGGAGGACACAGAACTGAAGTCCACTGGGGGCAGTGAGTGCAAAAGCAGAGTCAAACAGAAACTATTTACTTGTACATATGCTGCATCTTTGCACTACAAAGCTGCACATTTTAGCATACAACTCCCTCTTTGTGTTGCTATTCTTCTATCGCAGCTCATGATGAAACCCTGGGGAAACCAAATAAGAGTGCATTTTGTACTAAAAGACTGTAACAACTTGATTGTACTAACTGCTTTAACAATCTGAACTTCTTATTATGAGGATAGAATGAAACAAACCTGCTGTCTTCACAAACAACACTTAAGACAAAGACTTCTCAAAATATAAATTTCGAGATATGTCTTATCTTTTGAAATTATGATTTCCTGAGATATCCCTTATGAAAAAAAGTCAGTATAATTTAGATTCAAATATACTCTTTTGTCTTTTCAGTCCATGAGCGACACAGGGCCAAATCTCTGTGGGAGAAGACCGGAGCTGTAGTCATGGTTGTACGGCGACCCGGATGATTATTGTGCAGAGAGGTACGAAATAATTTGCCTGTTAGATATCAGTACTCTGTAGTGAATAAGTGATTAATTCATTCAATTTTTGTTCTATCTGTCCTTTCCTCTAGGAAGCTGCTGAGCTGTCCTCTCTGACGTCCCAGCTGCAGGACCTTGAAGTCCCTCTGTTTGCCGTGGTAAAAGAAAACATTGGCAAAGAGCTGGATTGCTTCAAGAAGTCCTTCACCGGGAAAGTCTACGTGGATCTGCAGGTCTGCTTTTACACACGGCTCTGAGATAATAGGTGAAACACTAAGGGTTACGTAAATTAAGACAATAAGCTACTTTTCTTTTATTCTCATAGAGAAACTTCTACGGGCCTCAACAGAGGTCGATGTTTCTCTCCATGTTCCTGCGTGTTGGCGTGTGGATGAACATTTGGAGGGCCTACAGGAGGGGCTTCAGGGGAAACATAAGAGGTGAAGGACTCATCCTGGGTGGAGTCTTCGTCATTGGGCCTGGAGATCAGGTAAGCAGTCATTTACAGAATTCATATTCTTTATTAGGTTTTGAATGGGTAAATATTTGTTTTTCTTCTCCTGACAGGGTATTCTACTTGAGCACCGCGAGAAGGAGTTTGGAGATAAAGTACATTTGCTGGCAGTGCTCACAACAGCCCGCAAAATGCAAGACGTCTTGGCAAGATAGGCTTTGAATATGTGGATGAATGGACTGATTGTTGGTGAGCCCTTATGTAATAATGGTTGTTACATGTGGCCATTTGCATGTCTGTAACCCAGGAGTTTTAACTACAAAAAAGCCTCTAACATGCTGCTCTGTTGGCATGGTATATTTAATTGCATTGCCTTTGCTGAAAAGCTAGGAAGTTAAATAACTGTATTTAAAATGTGCGACTTTAACTGTTTATTGACCCACTGTCTGCAGTTATTGTCTTGTTTATGTGAAGATATTTTGTGTGTTTTAATGACGATCTGTTTCTAAACTCTGCTGAGAGAACAGCTCTGATGTTCACACATATCCTCCACATTTAAAAAGACAGTCTTTGCCTGACATAATGGAGATCGAACCTTTGGAGTGATTGAACACATTTTATGTTTACCATGAAATAAAAATACCTAACCAGTCATGTTACTGTCTGCGTGTCGTGTTTTACCTCGTCTTTTTCTTTTGCTGGGTGCCGTTTATTTTATTGATGCTTATATTTCTGCTAAGCAATCCTATCTTATATAAGAAACTGTTTCAAAACAGGAAGCTAACAGGACCGTGACCTGTGCTCTCTCACTCATGTTAAAAGATCCATTCAATGTGAAATCATGAACCCCTAACTCTCTTTATTATTTCTGACATCCACCCCACAAGCCTGTCTGATGTTTCCCAAACTTTTCAATGTATTGTTTAGTCCACAGAAGCGGTGGAATAAATAGCAGAATTTTCCAAAAACGACTATATTAATAATATGTGGTATTGATTTAGAGTCACTGTGATGGACGCTATTACAACATTGAAATGATCTTTTACGAAAATATTTATGTTTAATCAAAACATGAGTTATCTAAAAAGTTGTGCCACACAAGACACTTTAACTATACGTTCTTGCATAATAATCACTTAAATGAGAATGTTAGCACGGAAGTAATGAAAATAGCATTGGTTTTGTGAGCTTCAAACTGAAATGTATATGTGAAACCTTGTGGTAAAAACAAAAGCGAGGGCTGGATGTGACTGGAGACAACTCAGAAATATATCCAATATCCAGAGGTGAAAGAAGTACTTGTACTTAAGTAAAAGTAAAAGTAACAAAGTGTAGGAGACTCTGTAACAAGTACAAATCCTGCATGTTACTCAAGTAATAGTACAAAAGTATTGGCATCAAAATATACATTTACCAAAAGTAAAAGTAACCTACTCATTATGCAGATCGGTCACATTTCAGACTTATATATGTTTTGATTATAATTAGCCTATTGATGCATTAAAATAGTATCTCAACATTGTAATTAAGTAGGCTACATACTTGAGTACATCTACCTACAGTAGTTACTTTACACAACTGCAAATATCGAAACTAAAACTCACATAATCACAATTTATTCTTCCGACTAACCGTAGGCTTCAACACATCTTGTGATCTGAATGAAAATACCTTACACTTGACAGGGCTGATTATTTCCATCACTTGCTCCCCACAATCATCCATGCCAAGTGCCTTAGTCAAAGATGAACTCTCGCCAGCCATCTTGCTCGATTAGTTTCCCTTGGTCCGTGGATCGTTTAGCACGCCTGCGCAAAGATCTGTTGTTTACTGAACGCTCCGTTGAGAGAGGCTTGTCGCTTCATTGATTCGGGTGAGTGTGCATTATTATGAAACTACTCTTATAACTTGATATAACGCTGGCAGCATAAGATGCACCTGCTTAAGGAAGATCCGCTAGTTTCAGACTCAGTGTATCAAAGGCTAAACTGGAAGCTAACCGCTATTTCATCGTTTCTCGTCACCGTGCCAACAGTAACTATAGCCACAGGAACTTTGTAGGCCACTGCAAGTATGTATTCATTATGAAACTATCATCAACATGACATCTCAGGAATGGTGAAATATTTAAATCCTATTCGGTTACAATTGAGTTGGAATTTCTAGAACCATCAGGTAATGTCATTGAATACACATTGCTAATATGAAGGTCATTTTCTGTCCTATTTGTCATCCTGCAGGCTGGACAGGTTTAAGTGACTTAATCTAGTCTAGTGACGCATCGTAGGTGTAGCAACGTAAATAAAAACGACAAGTACATTTCCTGCTTTCAGAATAAGTTAATTACAAACTATCGTATTAAGCCTGAACAAACAAATACTACTAGACTAGGCCTAATGTTAAAAATAACAACACATTAATGACCAATAGAGTTGGGTATTTTTGACAATTATGTGTTGGGCTTGTTTAAACGAGGCAGCATTGTTCAGCTTTTGATGAACATAAGTAAAGCAAGCATCAGATAAAGACTGATGGTGAATTTTTTTTTTTAAGTCCCTTATCTTTCAAGGCCAGATGATTATTATTATAGATAAGGGTTATATGGTAAAAAAATTCGATAAAAGTTAATTATTAAAAGTAAAGTTCATTATGCAGAATGTTCCTCTTCAGATTTATAGATTTTTAAAGGTTATCATATTGTTATAACCAGAGGTGGGAAGTAACTAAGTAGGCTACATTTACTCAAGTACTGCAATTAAGTACAATTTTAAAATACTTGTACTTTACTTGAGTATTTCCATTTTATGCTACTTTGTACTTCTATCCTACAATTTAGAGGTCAATTGTGTACTTTTACTCCATTACATTCATTTTGTGTCTTTAGTTACTTTAAAGATTTGGTTTAATAATGTGAAATATAATCAACACTTAAATAAGACTTTAGTAACACCTGGAGTAAATTCACAAGCTACCATGCAGTATACAAAGTCATTACAATTAGCTGCACCTTTACCAGCTTTGATAACACTTTAATGCATCAATAATTATAATGAAAACATACATGTATTATTCTGAAATGAACTAATCTGCATAATAAGTGCTTTTACTTTTGGTACTTTAATTATATTTTTATGCTAATACTTTTGTACTTTTACTTGAGTAATATTTTTAATGCAGGACTTTTACTTGTAATAAATCATGGTGGCATTAACCGCCTTGAAACCTCCTCTTACCCTGCTTTCTGCAGAGTCAGACGTATTCAAGGAATCTAAACTTCCTGTAGTTGCAGGCGTGGGCGTCTATTGGCTGCTGCTGTTATCATATTTTCAGCCCTTTGTCCTCAGTGTTGTTACGTTTCAAAGCACAAATTCATTCACTACTTGAAACTGGATGAGCTCAATACCAGGAGAATAAGTTGTCCTTCTCACTTTGGAAATGGAGACACGTTAGTATATTCATTTCTTCTGTTTTCAATTAATTAAGGACAAAATATAGATGTTATACTACTCATGTTTTTTAGTGTAAATCTGCAATAGTGGTCATATTTTAATATCTGTGCATTAATTTTTCATTGTTGCGCACTGTAAACCGACTTATATTTTTGTATTAACTGTCATTTATGTCTTGACGTTATATGCACAAACGTATAGCGTAGGGTGCAACAATAGAAAGTTTGAAAATAGAGAACTCTCAATCCCAGTAAGATGAATAAGATAAGAGTAACACCTTTTATATATTCATGCTTTCATCGTTAGTTTTTATTTGCAGGTTTACATTCTTATTTTAAGCATATAGATAAAACTTGGCTCAATGGTTTAGTGGTCGGTGTAACGTTTTATCTGGGCAGTCTTATCATGAAGAAATATGCAAGGTATTTCTCTCTTTAATCTGTGAAATCAGATGCAGGCTCTTGGAGAGTCGTGCTTCAGGTGCGGTGGATTGTATTGTCTGTAACAATATGTGGCGGCACTCACAAGTACTTTACATTTATTAGAAAAGACTTGTGTTTCTTTCTTTCAGTGAAATCTTGAGGGTGTTTGTAGTCAGAGACTTTTTCCTCGGGCCCGATGCTGGCTCTGTCCAGGTGTCCGGCATCTTTGAGGTCCCTGCGCTGCTCTGCCCTCTCTCTGGGGGCCACGACCATGAGCAGCCAGCCCTCTACCACAGCCAGACCCCCCACCACAGCCAGACCCCCGTCTCTAAGAACCCAGACAGCTCTGTTTCACCAAAGTGAAGCCAAAGCCAGTCCTGACACAAACAAGCCCTCTTCAGGCAAGGACATATTTGACTGCCTACACAGCTAGCTCTTCCTCTAACCCAAACTTTAAGCATGTTGTAGAAACAAAGCTGTGACCTGAGCACAGCTTTGTTCTCTGTGAGCTCTGTGAGCTCTGTGACCCCCCGCCCTTTTGAGTTACTCTTGAAGTTGTTATGAAAGTAGACATAATATATATATGTACTGCTTTAATCTTTGAAGCATTGTCAAAGGTTTTTGGAAAGATTACTAAATTTGGAGTTTTAGGATATTTTAGGACTAGTGAAGATTCATCCAAAGTTGATAGATAGCTTTTTTACTTTGAAAAAAAGTAATGAAAAAAAAACTTATAAGTTATTATATTCACAATAATTTTTGATAATTATTAATTGAGAAAAGAATCTGGAGAGTAATGAATTATGCCTGACATTACACTGAAGGATTTCCTAACGGAAAAATAACAATTTAAAATAGAATTGAAAGCCCACTCATCAAGAACCACGCAATCTGCTGTAAAAAATATAATTGACAGACTTGTTATGTCGTCATGTTGAAAAGCATCTCATCTCCTTTGTATGTGCAATACTTAATCTCATTGGATGAGCTTTAGATAAGAGTAAAGTCAGAAGAGGCTTTGCTGGTAAAAGGCACCACATGCTCTCGTTCTGCACTATGCTGAAACTCAAGACTGCAAGCTGCAAGCTAGGTCTTGTTGAACTCTTGTCCTCAGGGAGTTCTGAGAAGGAGGGAACGTGGTAATATCTAAAAGTCGGCACATCTGGCGCCTCAGGTCTGCAAAAACTGTATAATCGACATGCAGAATGTTTCTTCTTTCATTATGATAATGTCAAACTTGTGACACATTGCTCTCCTGGTGCCTGTTTGTGCTGCAGTGTCCTCTGTTTTCGGGCTGGAGGGGGATCTGTTCGGGATGGGAGTTTGGTCTTTGGGTCTGGGGGCTGTCGGAGCTGCGCTCGCTGGGATCTTTCTGGCCAACACTGATATGTGTCTGCCTAAAGTTTCACAGGCATCGATGGAGCACCTTGAAGAGGCTGACCTGCGCTCCACCATAGATGGTAGGAAGGCTTTCGGATTTGCTCTATGTAATAATGTTACAACCAATACGCTTGTTTGTAAAACCAGCTGTTGTTAAACCCATTGAAGGAGAATTAACATTACATCAGCAGAATCAGACATTTCCAGTTTTCTGCATTGCACATGCTCTGAATGAGGTTTTGTGCAACATGCAAAGCCGCTTTCTCAAATCTGCTGGCCTACAGATTATATCGCTGTGAAGGTCTTTGTCTGAAGCCGAAGGGCGAGTAACTGTTATTAACACATATAGATTTTCTGTGCCACCATGGACAATTAGTCTTTTCTCTGTTTGAAGGCTGCATCTTTTCTCTTCTTGTGCTTGAGACACGTGAGATTGGATACCTTGTTTTAGGAACAGTTTCTTCTTCTTTTATCTTCAGATAATAATGTCATCAAAGCAAAGAGCCTGTGGGACAAGAACGGGGCTGTGGTCATGGCCGTCCGACGTCCTGGATGATTTTTGTGCAGAGAGGTGATATCAAATGTTTCTGAATGACACAGGGGAGGGTGCTGAGTTTGTACAGTTTATAAGAATGATATCTTACTTTCTGTTCTAATCTCTCTCTCTCTGTAGGAGGCCTCTGAGCTGTCCTCTCTGAAGTCCCAGCTGGAAGAGCTCGGAGTCCCTCTGGTCGCTGTCGTGAAGGAGAACATCGGCACAGAGATCCAGGACTTCAAAGCGCACTTCGCTGGGGAAATCTACATAGATGAAAAGGTAAGCAGTGATAGAAAACATCACCTGTTCCAGAGCCACTAGGCTTGTTTGAGACGCGTTGCGGCTCGCCTCGAAAGTAGACGAGAATAGCCGATCGCAGCCGGGGGAGGTCTCAAAAAGCTCGCTTGAAGTCGGACAGCTCCGAGTCGGCTTCTTCTTCTTCTTCTTCTTCTTCTTCTTCTTCTTCTTCTTCTTCGCTCTTCTTCTTCTCTCGTTTTTTTGGCGGATTGCAAACAACTTTAAGGTGCATACCGCCACCTCCGGAGTCGGCTTGACTCGGTTGCATTTATAAAGAATGCACACATGTGTTTAATCGTTAATGTCAGATATGTACTAAGTAAATACATTTGTTCCTGCTCAAGATTAGATTCAACTTTATTGTTATTGCACAGATTACAGGTACTGAGACAACGAAATGCAGTTTAGCTTCTAACCAGGAGTGCAACAAGCAGTAAAGTGAAAAGTAATGTACACAATCTACAGAATAAAAGATAGAATGAAGTGAATGATGAATAAACAGTGAGTACACTAGATATACACAGCAGCCTGTGAGCAGTATGAACAGTGTGTATGAATATGCTAAGATATATAAAGTATGAAAACGGTAAGCAGTGCAAGTATAGTATAACATATATAGATATTAATTTCATGATGATAAACATTGTGGAACAATGACGAAAAATGTGAATGGAAGTGGCGACGTAAAACTGACACCAAACAACAACTTTTGCCGAGCCAATTGGAGAGTTTCATCAGCAGCACGGGGTAAAAACCACCAATGAGCGCTCAGCTCGAGATACCAGCGAGTCGTTTCCCATCAAGCATTTCGCCTCCGCAGCCCGTGGAGAGGAACTGCGCCGCCTCGCCGCGCCTCGCTCTCAAGGCTGCGGGCGTCTTTGTCCCGCGAGATTTCAATGTCTCATGTGAGCGAGCCTCCAGAGCAAGTCGGACAAAATGACTAACCATCATGCAACGCACGAGCAAGACGTTGATCGAAATTGCGTCGGTCTCGCTTGTCTCAAACAAGCCTAGTGTTAGTCCTCACCTTCCTGTCAGTCCATCTAAACTACTTTGCACTTAAAATAGTCTTATTCCTTATTTCGATCTTTTATTTTCATTACAGACTTTGTTAGCTAAGCCATTGACATCCACCCTTTGATGGGGAATAGTCTATTAATCATTAGTTATTTCAAATAAAAGTACATGTTGAGAACTAGTTAGAGATCTCTCTGGATAACTGTATTCATCTGCCAGGGGCAAGTTGAGAGTTAACGAATGATAAAGCCATTTTAATTTTGTCACATCACAGGAAATCCTGTATGATAATGAACTTGATCAGGCCGACAGAAAGTTATTTTTGTGATTGCAGCAACACTTCTACGGCCCGCTGCAGAGGAAGATGGGGGGTCTGGGCTTCATTCGCCTCGGGGTGTGGCAGAACTTCATCCGGGCATGGAGGTCTGGTTACCAGGGCAACATGCACGGAGAGGGCTTCATCCTGGGGGGAGTGTTTGTCATCGGAGCAGGAGACCAGGTGGGTGTAGCAGACATGTGGACCACACAGGGAGATTTGAAATAAAACGGTATTTTATTTGAAATGCTTGTTGTGTCTGCAGGGGATTCTCCTGGAACACCGGGAGAAGGAGTTTGGCAACAAAGTGGACACTGCAGATGTTCTGGAGGCTGTTAAGAAAATTGTCCCAGTTAAATAAGTCATTTTTTAAACATTAAACATAGGTGTTTTTAGATCAAAACTAGAAATAACAATTCGTCCATCACTGAAATACTGATAATATAACGACATTTAAGTTTGTGGTGTATAAAGTCACAATATATTTCTTCCTTTGCACATTCATTTACTGTTTACTGTTGGTTACGAAAGCAAAGCTGTGAAATTCAGGACAATATTATCACTTATTATTCTTGTTCATCCCTGCGGACACCTAGAAGAAGGTGCGACGGGTATTAAAAACAGGTAGTAAGGGACTTAAAGGCAGCATTTTCATTCAGGTAAATCAGGCACTTAAAGACACTTGAAATCTTCCTTTTAGAGAACCACACGAATCAAACTAAGGCTGTGTTGCATTTGATTAGTTATTCTATTAGCTGCCTGTTAGCGGTACATTTCTAACAATGTTCCTGTGTGTCACTTTCTCTATTTGCTTCTCCTGGTCAGGCGCCACAACAGGCCTCTAGCATGGCGGACAGGTGTGTGTGCAGCCTCTGTGTGTGATAATGACAATCTGTCTCCAAACTCAACATAGAGAGGAGCAGGTTTGATGCTCAAACACACACCGGCTCAGCCACTGGCGCCATGTTGAGGAGTGTTTGTGCTGCCTGGAGCGTGTGTGTGTGACGGAGAGTGTGAAATTAAACTCCAGAAAATGAAAATAATAAATAAAGAAGACCTCATCACAATATTTCACCTGTGCCCCCTGTGTGTTTCATTATTTTAATATTTAAAATGAATGTTTGGGCAACGCATGACCAACTTACGTATATGTTAGTAAAACTTTCTTCGAACTCTAGTAAATATATTTTTAATGTAACATTTGGACAATGAAAACACTTTTCTGGTAGGTATATTTAAATGTGTGTTAACTTACTGTATACCAGAGACACTTGTTTGCTGTTATAAATTAGAACACTGTGTGTGATACTCTGCATCCACCATTGGTATGGCATTATGTATTTGTATACATTTACTTTTTCAGATATTAGAAATGTGCATTTTGAAAAATAATTTGACTACAGTTTATTCAGATTTTCGATTGTTCTAAATGAAAGCCTTCCTACTTATTGTACATTAGATACCAGTCTGACTTATATCTTATCACATCTATCTATTATTCATTAACATACACACACTCCCTTGTTCCTGAAGTTTGATAATCCTGTTGCTTATTAATCAATCCTGTGTGTTGTCCTGTAGCACTAAATATACAGTGAAACAACTTAAATTAAGAAAAACACCAGTTTGTTCACACCCTTCTGGTAAATACATGTAATAGTTATATTATAAAAAAATTGTCCCAAACAGAATATCTACATACTATTCTAAAAACCAAGGCTTATTTTCTGTTATGTTAGTAAACATTCACCAGTAATCAACGTTAAATTATTTTATCCTCAGAAATCTCAACCAAGGCAAGATTGTACTTAGACTTGTAATCTTGTTTGTATGTCAAGGGCTCTGTCTGTCTGTCTGTCTGTCTGTCTGTCTGTCTGTCTGTGTGTGTGTGTGTGTGTGTGTGTGTGTGTGTGTGTGTGTAGCCAAAACATACTGTACCAAATCAGATGACTGTCTCAGAGTAATCTTATTGTTTTATACTTGACTAGTATTTGAACAAACAAACCTTTTGATCCAAACTGGGTGTTCCACTCTTTAATTTTCTGTTTCCCCACAAGCGGGATAACATTAAAGAACATTTGTAATAATACAATGTTTAATAAAGTCAAATCAGCAGACAGGTTTGGACTTTTAACGTTGTATGTTTTATTCTATTGCTCTGAGTAAAATACATTCCACATCATGGAAATATATATTTCAACACAATACAAAATAGAGAGAAAGCACGGCACCAACACTGACAGGACTACATGTGGAAGTTTATGTACATGAAACAACCAAAACATTCAAGGAGTGTAACAATAACAGATTGTCTTTCCATCGAGCCTTCAGTATGCAAAGATTCAACATTTTCTTCATGGCAAACACAACCAAAGTTATAAATGAGTGGCTTTTCAACCAGTGGGACAACATTAACTTGTGCTATCTTGTTTGTTACGAGATTTTATTGTAATGGCTGTAACATCGATGCCAAAAACAGGACTTTTAGCTGAAATGTGTGTTGGCATTTATTATAGATGCTATTTGTTAACGTTGCTTTTTTTGTTGAAAGATTTGGTGGGTTACACTGATAAAGTTGAGGACCCTTTCTAAAAAGAAATAAAATGGAAAACATGTTTTTGCAGCAGAAAGTCTGGCAAAAGGTTCGTAAGTTAAAGCTGAAACATAAATATTCAAAGCTACACCTTTCTGCTCCTCATTCCTCCACAATCCATACCCGTCTCATCTTTGGCTAGATCCATTAGTGCGACACGTTACGGTGGTACGATACAGGCCGAAGCTGGGATGTTTACAAATGTATTTAAATGGTAAAAACCTTCAGTTTTGTTCTTGACACTTTCGTGGCATAATTCAAAGAAAAGAAAAACACAAAAGGAAATAAAGCACAAGCTAAAGCTACTTGGTTATGAGCAATGAAATCTGCCAGACAATGACAGAATGACTAATTAGCAGTAACCATAGTTCATTCTACATCGTCCAGCACCATTATCAAATACAATCAACATTAAACATTTTAAATAGCAATAAAAATCCTAGCACCTCAAGCAGCACCGCAAAGGTTATAGTGCAGTTTCACCCTCCGCAGGAAAACAGCCCAAACAGAACACACAACTCTCTCTTAGTGATGCAGCCATGGGATCGAATGTTTGAATACAGTAGTGAATGTAACTCTGAAACACTGTCCGGCAGTGCGTGTGATCATGTCTCAGTGTTACAGAAACAGTTATCTATTATCTGGGGGAATGAGTGTTTGTTTTTGAATGAAAATGGAGAGTTCAAAGAAACATTTTCTTTTTCAAATTAGACATCCATCTTTTCAAAATAACACAATGATTCTCCTAAAGAAGTGAGGAGTCATATCAAGACGGTATTTCAGGATAGGGTCTGTGGGTTTATAAAATGATCTGATAGCACTTTGGGATTAAACCCTTGAATTGTAGGATCACATATAAACACAATCATTGTGCGGATGCTTCACCACAATCAGTTGACTTTAAATACATCACTAACACCTTTTTAGAAACCAGTGACTACAGGTGCTTAATGGAGGTGAATTTACGTGTGGAAAGGCTTGTACAATCTTCATGTTGGGTATAGTTTTACCCAAAACATCACTTTACATTAACATTGAATCATAGTTTTAAATCTGTGACTGTGTACACGGTATCAAGTTAATTCCCACTAGAGGAGCGCCCCTCTAATCTGAAAACTCATAAGCCCTAAAAGGTGCACTCGCTCTAATGAGTTTGCAGCAAACCCCTCTCTCTGTTCTCCGTTAATACGAGCAGCTGACATTGTTTCCGATGCATATGTGTTGCCATCTGGTGGATTCACTAACAGAGGCTCACCTTAAAGTTAAAATCTCTTATATTCCTCCTGCATATGTGCTCCATATATTGTACATCATATATATATATATATATAGAAATATATCTAAAAAAAAATGTATTTTTGCATAATCCAACAGACGACACTGGGATAAATTCATGTGATATCTACTCCCGTACACCATCACTATCTCACCACACAGTTCAACTCAGCCAATCTATCCACTGCAACAAAGCAACAACAAACACTGTGCTCCGTATTTTGATTTTGTCCAACAACAACAACAACAGCCATTTCCATTTGGCACATTGGGTCATCAATGGCTCCAGTGCTAACAACAGTTTCGCACATGGCTGGCTAGCGGTTGCACATATAAAACCTGCATCACCGAAGAAGGAACTGAAATGAAAGAGCTTCCTCCGACCTGCTCACTCAACGCTTCAGTTCCAGTGTGGCCGAAACAGCAGAACATTGTTGTCTGTCTTCTGCATGTGGCTGTGCTTAGAACACACAAGTCACATCATTTCATCTTAGCAACAACATGTAGACACGTTACAAACAATATTCCTCCACCTGACACAACCACCACCACCACAATAACATATTTCATTAATATAACCCTAAAGATAGCAACGGCACTAGTTTAAAAAGTGATCTCAAACAACAGAAGGCTGTCACTGCCATGGCAACTGTTCATTTATGTTGATAAGAAGCACACGCACTAAAGGTTTCACTGATGCCCTCTACGGCTGTGCTTCGAGGGCTTTTGCAATATCATTTCAATTGTTCTTCTCTCACCTGATTACCTGGTCTATGATCACAAAGGGGTATAAGTACACTTAAAGGAGAAATGAAGAGTAAGCTGCTCCGGTTAACAAGGAGTACAACAAAAGACTATTCAGAGCTAATAAACATCATTTTTTCTAGTATGGCCACATGGATGAACTACAAGGTGGAAATTCATTGGTGGCAAGAATCTATACATACTAGTCAGTGTAGTATACTATTTTCAAAAACAGAAAATTTGAAAATAATTGGAAAGTGGATAACTAAATGTAGGGAGACGAACCAAACGCCTATATAAGCACAACAATTTAGCAAAGTACTTCAAAACATGGACGAATCTAAATGCAACATATACATATTGGTGAGTGAAAAACAAATCAGTAACTTCATGAACTGACCCCCTAAAAGGCAGTTTTGACCAGAGGAAGGAAGGAAGACAGAAAACACACCACAATACAATCAAAACTGTTCATGATTTCATTTGGAAGGAGTGTCATCTATGTACAGAGCAATGTGAGTGTTGTTGTTTTTTTTACCTTCAGTTATTCTCAACGCCTTAACCCTGCAATGTCAAACTTGGAGCAGCTGTGTCAAATTCCAAAGATTGTACATACAAAAAACTAAAAAGGAACATAAATACATTTTGTTTTACCTTCCCACTTGTGCCCTTGGGATAACAGACGTGTGTGTGTGTGTGTGTGTGTGTGTGTGTGTGTGTGTGTGTGTGTGTGTGTGTGTGTGTGTGTGTGTGTGTGTGTGTGTCTGCAGTGTGTGGAGATGTATTGTGAGATCCTACAGGCCCTTGTTGAAGAAAACGGTGGTGGTCTTGGGACTGGTCTCTCGTATCCTCTCCTGCAGTTCTGCTTCCAGCCCGCTCACACTCATAGAGCTACAATGAGATGGTTCAACATGATTTAAAGTCCTTCGACACGTAAGATAACACGGCTTGTACATGCATAAGCTCCTTGATGTGGGTGCTTACCTTTTCTGTGGGAAGAGGGCGCAGCACAGAGGAGTTGCAAACACCAGGCTGAAAACAAGACACGGGAAGGACGTGTTAGGTCAGTGTGACTTGCATATTTTAAAGTACAGAGAATAGAGTCCATCAAAAATGACATCATAAATAATATATATGTAATTGACTTACCATAGACCGACGAGCCCAACCTGGATTGGAGCGTTTAGAAGTGGGAACCGCTGCAGGGAGAGTACAGATGTTTAGAGAAGATTGAAGTGAATCAGACAACTTGAACATTTGATATGTTTGACTACATGGACATAAGCATTCATGTAACAAGTGGAATGCGACATGACTCTTTTCAGCCTCACAAAAACAACAGCAGATCCAGGACATCCACTTACTAAAAAACAACAAAAGTTTAAAAAGTCATGCATGCTTACCTTCATGAAAGCTTTCTTCTCCAGGGAATTCATAATAACAGGGGGAATGGCTGTAGAAAAAAAGAAAAGAAAATTGGTTGATTCATAATCCAACAAATTGACCCTGCAGTTATGAAAGTTGTTCAATAATAATATATCTTATATAAGTACAACAAAAATAAATCATAATATTCCCTTACCAAAAAAAAAAAAAAATGGGGTGTAATCTAAAGCGTGACCTTATTGTGCAAACACAAAAATAACGCAAAACTAACTTAAAAACATTATCCTAACTAAGAGTAAAACTAAAAAAGAGTATGCTTAGGTGTGCGTCTATCAAGGTCATAATTTATTGTCAATCAATAAATGAAGTTAATTTATATAGCCCAATATCACACATTTTACATTTGTCTGAGGGGACAGTTTAAACAGAATACGACACCCTCTGTCCTTGGACCCTCACATGGGGGGAAATGGAAGAAACCTTGGGAAGCAACAGAGGAGGGGATCCCTCTCCCACGAGACAGACGTGCAATAGATGTCGTGTCCATCATGTTTTAGATCCACAAGTAGGTTCATGACCAGCCAAACAGGAGACATAATGTTGACTTTACCCATTGCTGGCACTGCCATGCCGATCCTTGACACCACCACCTGCATGATGGCCTGCTTGGCGGCATTGGGGGACTCTCCTAACCTGTTCCCATTCTCATCCATCACAGGGATACCGAACTTCAACTCCCTGGAAGAAAACGGAAGTCATATGGAGCAGTTGCAGCGGCTCCTAAAAGCTCCTGCTGCCCTGAGGGAACAGAGCAGAGGTCTTTGGCTTTACATTTGGTGATCTCACCTCTGCCTCATGAAGGGGATGTTGATGCAGTTAGCAGCAGCAACCGCAGCGAAGGGGACAAACCGGCTGGCGATTGGAGGGAGACGCTGCAGAGGCAGGAACAGAAACACATTCAGACAACTGATCCCTGCACAAACATCCGTTATACGAGTGACTTTGATATATTTGATCTGTTGATTCTCTTGAACTACAGGCTTTACCGAAGCTAGAGTTTTGAATCCCAAAGCAGTGACTACAGCTCCGGTAGTAGCGCTGATGTAGGCCACACCAAGCTGACTGTGGAGAGACAGATAAGATTCAGATCAGAGATAAATCAACCACTTCCTTTTTCAACACATCATAAATAGGTCTGTGGATCGACTGACACATCTCCAAAGTAGAGTCGCCTCAGTAAGTGTGCAAGTTCATGCTAGGCTTGAATATGCAAAGGTCAAATAAATTCCCCAGAAAAAATGATAATGCAGAGGATGACACTTTAACATGTATCCTAAATGACATGCTTAACACATGAATATGTATTTGCATGTTCTGAAGGCAACCCTCTATTCTTCATACATGCATGCATTTGATGCATTTCTGCAGAGCATGAAGGATGCAGTTTGTGGCACAATGACAAGAGTATGCAAGTGCATTTTGACTTGGCACCACGTCAGCGCGGGTGCATGGTGACATGGGGCTGAACATGCTAAACAGTGGAACATAATACCGCTGTGAGGGAAGGGGAGAGGGCAGCGGCTCCCACAGCCTCCTTACAGACACTACTTTAGAGGGAGGACAGGAATGATCTAGAGTGAGAGAAGTCCTCCCTACTTCACGCTCATTGGTGCGTCTCCGCTGCGGTTGGTGTAGTTGACGACGGCGTTGAAGGACTGGTTGACCCACTGCCAGAACACCACTGCCGGAGTAGTCCTGTAAACAAGAAGAGACGACAAGTGTGTTTGAGGAAGTGACATTTCACACAAAGCTACACTTTGGGCTCCGCAGCAGAAGAAGAGTTTGATTTCAACTTAAATACTGTCTTTGTAGAAAATACAGGCAGAAATATCTGAACGTCTACCATTTTTGGTTGCAACTAAGAGTTACTTCAAGAATAGTTTGCGATTATTTCTATTTTGTCGACCAATCGATAGTCACCTTTTGTGTGTGTGGTTCTCAAATCCCCACAGTTGAAAGAATGTAGGTCATTTACTATAAAGTAGCAAACTGCATGTTTTCTCAATGATAACTTATTTCGGACTTCAACTAGGAATTATTTACATCAGTCAACCTAACAGTTTTGTGCTGGTATGCATGAGATAAAGATCAAGACACGTGTTAATGGAGCATGGTTAACCACAACAACACGTGGCCAGACATGGGGGTTTTCTACTTCTTGTTAGGTTTTGTGTCACGAGGCACAAGTTCCTCTGATTTGGTCTTCTTAATCACTCAGTACAGATTAAGCTAAAAGTGTGTTGTGTATTATTTCATGAATACACTGGCCCTGAATTAACTCGACTACTTGCGGTGCGCTTTGTTACTTGTTACTAAAGCCACTATTTATAACATTTAAATGTCAGACTCTGGCGCCCTCATATTGCAGTATGCTAGAATTAAATCTGGAATGACTATATATGAATAATGAATACATTCAATAATAATTAAATACAGAAAAAACTATATATTATTGTAATAACAGGCTGGTTATTTATATTATGTGTTTTCAGCATTACAACTTGACTCCACAGTCCTCTCAGCTGCCCAATATGTATTCATAAGTGTTCAGCAGTGAGAGTGATATTTTTTTATTCTTTAAAAGGATTTTCCCTCGGTGCAGGGATTAAAATCTCTACTTTATGAAGTGCTGTTAGCTGTATTAACATTACTTTGGTTTCACATGGAAACTGTATTAAATGTATTAAGTATTTCCTCAATATATATATTTCTTCCATTTTCAAAATGTTGTTGTGATGAAGATATTTTCAGTTATTTAGAATACATTGAATTGTGTATTGAACTCCTCTCTGCTTTACCTGTAGAAGGTGAGCATGGAGCCGGTGATGGACATGTTCACTGGCACCTGAGCGGACATCCGGCCAATCACAAACATCTTCTCCCCGGTGTCGGGGTGGAAGGCGGAGTCGTAGACGTACTTGGCTCTCCAGAGTTCATCCTCTGTCAGGCCAGGCTTTACCACCCCGGATCTGAAAAAGTCAATACAGAGTATTATTTAGTATTTTGCACATAAAGCATCGGTCATTACACAAACACAGCATTTTCTTCTTGCATTGAAAAACAAAGGTACAACATAAGACAACAAGCATGAATCCCCACATCACAAATAGACTTGTACATGTACAGTATAGAGAAAAAAATGAATAACAGTGTTTAGTATTTATACTAATTAGAATATGATTTGAATGGTTGTTACATAGGATTATTTTATTTCACTCCTACTCTACCCTTATATCTTATTACCATCTACCTGTAGTTCTCCATGGTCACTCTGGCGTCCTCCAGAGTGTCCGAGGACAGAAGAACGTTCCTGGGATCTGTAACCATGAAGAAGTGCTTGGCGCGCCCCATGAACGTGCCCTGGTCCCATCTTGGCTCCTTGATGTTTATGTTGAGGGATAGATCTTCAGACATCTTGTCTCTCTTTAATTATTAACAGACATGTGAATTAGTATTCATTCATACCATGATGTTACACATCTATACTGGTTTCACAGGTAGCTAGGTGTAACATTTTGAGAGTAATTCAGAGGAACAATTATTGCCATACAGGGTTTCCAGTTATACCCTGAACTTCACAGGCTGGTCATGCTTTTAATGATGACACCCAGCCCCACAGGTGAAATCATCATTGAAATAAACAACAACCTTGGATGGAGTTCAGTCTCCTCCACCTCACTCTATTAATAACTCTTCTAGGATGCAGCGTTGCATTGAGCTGAAGCCCCCTCCCCCATCACTGAACACAACATACATTTCTGAGCAAATGACCCCAAACTGACTAGTCAACCAGGCTTACCTGCTGTAAGACTTGTTCTCCCTCTCAACACATTTAAAATGTAAAAGGATATTTGCTCCAATTGCTGTTGTCACTGTGTTAAAGGGGGGCTTTTGTCATGGATGATAGGTTCTTTAAAAGCATGTACCAGGTTCAGGCTTGTCTCAAACATATTCTGGCTGTTAGGGTCTACACTGAAAAACAAACTGTGCTGGAAATTTAGGTTAGCACTTATGGTGTTTGTATGTGTTTGACAAACCAATATTTAGGTCTACAACTAACAATGTTTTTAATTATCGACATTAATCTGCCAACTATTACCTTGATTAGTTGAGAAATGTCATCAAAGTGTTAAAAGAAAATATGCCACACAAGTTTCTTAAGCTGATTGTGTGAGGAGAGATGGTACTATTAGACGACCAATCAATGTTTGCTTTAAATATACAACACAAATTCAAAACAGCTCTAACTTTACACATTTTCACCAAGTGCACAGGAGACACTCCTCTGGCTGAACGCTTACACTAAACTAGTACAGGAATGGACAGGACAGGAATGTACTGTATGTGCTCATTTTGCAGCAGCCCTACAGCTTTAAGCAGATGACCGTCTTTAAAAACATCTGCAATATGCAAATGGTTTGATAAAAAGACACTTCCATAATACACAAAACTGATATGGTGGATTATAGAGACAAAATGGTACTGAACACACTAAAAAGTCCTGGTTGTGTTTCTCCCATGGTTTATCCTTACAAATACAATGTAACCTTTCAGTATAAACGCCTAACTAGAAACACATGTATTGCGTCACACTGTGAGGAGATGATGACAGGAATATCGTGACACATTCACTGACAGATGGGATTGGGGAAGTCACGACACGATGCCGGTTGGAGCCTTGCTAAAAAGCTAGCAAGGTACCTGATAATACCATTGAAACTCACATAGAGGAGTACAGAAATATCCACTCAAAATCAAATCCCTAGAATATCAAATTGTAGGTTAAAGGGTATTAAACAGGGCCTTCTCAAGGCATCAAAACAAACAATTTCTGTGCTCTCATGGTAAACTAACGTCAAGCTAGCCAGGTAGTTTACAAGCTAACTCATATGCTAACACTTTGAGGAGCGTAACAAGGACAAACAGCGAGTCGAAGTGAACGGTGACTTATCCGTATTGAGATTTAAATGTATTAAAGATGTTAATGCAGGCAATACTGAGACGTACCTGGTTTACAGTCGTTGTTTTGCGAAAATGTATGACCTCTCAATAACAAAGCTCCACCGGGTGGACCTGTGCTGCTTTCAAGTACATTAAAAAGTATCGTAAAACACAGCTTCACCCAAAATGAGGTATGTAGGAAAGAAGCTCATACATTTTTTACAATATCATATTGTACTATATTATTCTGTTTATATTTGATACTGCTTTAGTATAGGTAATCTCGATAATATTGTCAGTGTTGTGCTTTAACTTTTTCTTTAATTGCTCTTATATGTTTCATTGGAGCTGTATTTTGTATGTGTTCCAAATAAACATGATTGATTGATAGTAACTATTTAAGTATTATTACTTTATTTTTAATTTACTTTGATTTCATCCCCCTCTATTTTCTACTCTGTTTATCTATGTGCTAGTATTTTGTCTTTGTGCTGCTGTAACAACAGCATCTCATAATTTCTTGTAAAGACATACAATGCAGAGCACATTTTTGGTCAGACATTATTAGAGAAAAATCGTTAAAACACTGTCATATCAGTCCATGTGAGGTTGAGTTCCGGAAATCAGAGCTTCGTACAGGTCTTTGAAAGCAGCACCGTGCAGTGAAATACTGGGGGCGTTGTGACGTCTTGGAGGACATGAGCAGATGGAAACCCCTGGGCGTGGGTGGGTAGACAACACATGATTGGTTAAAAAGCAGCTGACTGGCTCAAGGTTGTTTTGCACTTTAGCTTTTTCAAAAGTTGTACATTACAGCTACTTTGATTACAAGCGTCTAATTCTAATTTAAAAAATATATATTTTAGGTATTTATTCTTAGAGCAAGTCAACGTTTTTTTAATAATAGTTATTTCTTATGACAGTATTTTAAAGAAATTACCAGAAAAACAAAAAAAGCATTGAAATAAGGCTGCATACACATCATATCAGGTCTCTATAACACGCTTTTTCTTTCCTAATAGTATAGTCATATATATATATATATTAATTATGTCTATAATATAATATTGTTGATATATAAAGACTATGATAGTTATATATCTATTTGGAACAAATACATAGGGCTACTGTGTTCAAGCTGGTCTCTCTTTGATGTGCAAATCTTGATGTTTTTTCGAATAAAAACATCAAGATTTTCAATGTCGTACTTTCCTGTTTCTTTACAGTGTCACTGTTATTAATATGACTGATAATAAATACCCTGGGGTCTGCATAGAATCGGATCTACATAGGTTGTGATGGGACACATCTGACCACCGGGTGGGGTTGTTTGCCCACCTCACAGACAGGAGTGAAGATCCACATCTCCGCACATCTCGGCAGTTTTACGGGGAAACAATGACTTAATGGACACATTAATAACCTGACGACAAACTGACAGAGACTTGAGGCAGTGTAACTGTAATATAATTCCTATTGGTGTACTTAATCATCATTACTTCAGCGCTAATGGCTGCACAGCTGCAGAGGCTTATGTAAAAGGATTAAACCTTATAGGACAACAATTGTCACCTGGAGAACTACTGGGGTGGCACTAATCCTCCGGAGGTGTCCGATAATAATGCGTCAGCAAGGCAGACCAATGGACCAACATGGACACACAGCAGGTAACTCTCATACAAATTCACTTTATTTTAACGATATGTCACGATGTTACAGTTTTGTAGCGTTACAAGTTTTGAGGTATTAACAGTTTGGTTAAAGTTGACCGAAACTTCGCAAAAAACAACAATTCGTTCAAAAGTTTAGTTTGTTAGGAATAGATTATAATGACCTGTCAAAGTGTTATTTCAGTGTCTTTTAGACGCTGTCCATGGTGCTGATCGATAAACAAGTTAAGTTAAATGAGAGACTCTGTTTAAAACGCTTTTATTTTATTTGTATTAAATGTTATTCTATTCGAGATCCCAGGTTAAAGGTCATTACTTAACCAAAATTAGGTTCTTCTGAGCCCACATTACTCTTCACAGTATATTGTCCTCACAACAGATATCCATTCAATTAAACATGACTCGAGGGGAATCACCATGCACCGCTGACTTCTCTGCAGACACAGGCACCGTGAGCTCTATGGAGAGAGATTCAGATGCTGCAAAGGAAACAAGTGGAATATAACAACTTCTTTATCCTACAAAGTAAAGTCAACAGTTCAATCATGGATCAAGGAACTAATTCGCCATTGGTTTTCTTCAGCTGTGTGAAGCTCAGCTTTCAGTTTTTTCATGTTGCATTTTCTCTTTTGGACCTTGGATTATATTATTAGGCCTTGTGTTTGGTCAGAAAGTGTTTTTAATAAAAATCAGAGATGTTGCCTCGAGCCTTGTAAGTTGCCTGCTCTAGTTTGGACCACCTCAAGTATTTTGTCTTCCACTTTGGACCAGCAAGTGCAAGAAAACTCCAGTTCCACACCACACTTGTCCTCCTTATCCATACCCTCATCCCAGGCTGCACCTCTTCCATCCTGACAGCAGGCTCCAGATATCCTCCTGTCTGGATGACTAAGGGAAGGATTGCCAGACACATAGCATGGCTCGCTCCCCTCACCCCTCTGGCTGGAGGGAGATGACAAATGGAGGAGGGCACCCCCATTACAACCATGGTGGCCAGACCGGGGGTTCCCACAGCACACCGCGCTACATGCAGAAGAAACACCACCGCCACAGACACAGGTCCTCCTCCCCGATGGGCCGGGTCATTCTCATCAACTCACCTGTTGATGGTGAGTTCACAGTGCGCATGTTAACCCTCAGGGCTATGTGCCAGATATCTCTTTTAGTTTAGGTAACAAAACGAATTGTTACCATGGTGACACAAAAAAAATGCCACTGGCTTGAGAGGCACACAATTGTCATTCAGTCAGTCATTCAAGTTTAGAAATGTGTTCCGCCACATGTGTCAGAGAAAGCAAGTGTATCAACAATAATGCAATATATTTTAGAAAGTAGAGCTAGAATGTTTACTTGATTCATTGTTTGGTTAAACCATATTCGATTACTAAAATATGTAAAAATATACAGACTTTAGTTTTGAATATGAAAACTTGAAATGAAATGACGAGATGACATTTCTTTATTATTTTCTGAAATGTTAATAGGATAAGTTAAGATTGACTTTGATTGATCCAAATTTGGGAAATGATTTAACAAATATGTTATTGACAAAAAAATTAATTACTTAATTGGTAAAAAATTAACCGATAATGAAAATAATTGTCAGTTGCAGCCTTAGTAGACATACATGAATATACCTCAGTGAATCATGGTTGAAAAAAGTCACACTATTTGGAGGAACAATCAATTATTATTTCTATTTTGAGGATTTGGCTTTAAGGTGGTCAAATTTGTATTCACCAAATATTGATGTCATCGAAAATAGTTTTGAAATATTAAACCTGACTTTCTTTTTCTTTGGTGTTGCAGGAGGCGAGGACAGTGAAGACATTCACACAGTGACAGTAGATAAGAGTCCAGATGGGCGGTTGGGGTTCAGTGTCCGTGGGGGGTCTGAACATGGTCTCGGCATATTTGTCAGCAAGGTGGAGGATGACAGCACTGCAGGTTAGTAGAAAGTGTGTGTGTGTGTGTGTGTGTGTGTGTGTGTGTGTGTGTGTGTGTGTGTGTGTGTGTGTGTGTGTGTGTGTGTGTGTGTCTGTGTCTGTGTCACGCTGACTGCAAGCTTATTTTTAAGTGTGCTTCCCTCTATGCATGTGGTCTTCTGTTTCCTTGTGACATTTACTCTGGTGCATCGTGCTGAGGGCCACCTGTGTCTGCAGAGCAGGCTGGGCTGATGGTGGGCGATAAGCTGGTGGAGGTGAACGGGGTCAGCCTGGAGAGCATCACCATGAGCAGCGCTGTGAAGGTCCTGACGGGCAACAACAGGCTGCGGATGGTGGTGAGACGAGTGGGCAAGATCCCCGGCATCCGCTACTCCAAGGAGAAGACCACATGGTGAGTCCGTTCGGTGCAGGTTGTGTCAATGTGAAGGAGGCTGCCATGAATGATATCTCACATCTAATCTACAATGACATATTTACATCACATTTCAAACTTCAATAAACAGTAGGTAAATATTATGACTTTGCTTTGCTCTGTTACGTAAAGTACAGATTACCTTGTTGTAACCACCACTGAGCTTAGCATGGCCCGTGTTTTGTGAAGTCTTGTCACTTGACTTTTGGGATATACTGTATCTTGGTTTCATGTGGCAGCGCTGGATGGATTACCCCTGTGACCTTTATGGCTATTTGATTAACCGATACTGACGGGCCTGAGTGCAGGAGAGAAAGAAAAAATTGTGTATTTGAATTTTTTCATGCATGAATATTTGTCATCTCTTACATGTGTGTGTGCAGGGTGGATCTGATTCACCGGCGGATGGTGGTGGAGGAGAGCGGTCGCACACCGTCAGAGACGAGTTCAGACAGCGCTCTCCGCAGGATCGTGCATCTCTTCACCACATCAGATGACTACTGTCTGGGCTTCAACATCAGAGGAGGCAAAGAGTTTGGACTGGGAATTTATGTTTCTAAGTATGAACCATGTGTGGTTTAAAACACATTCTTGTTTTGCACCTGAAGATTCTATCGGCATCAGACAAACACAATTATTGAGGGTGGTGCCGTGCGTGTGTGAGGAGGAGGAGCTGTAACCCCTCTTAAAGTTTTCTAGAGAAAAAAGGAGCACGACTGACAACATATTTTTCATTAAATCAAAGCAAACATACACCAGTTGGAGCCCATCCAACTGCAATGATAAGCTTGATTAAGACACAAACATACTTACATCACATTTAAAAAAAAAGAAGAATAGTAGAACATTAGGTTAAAGAGTTATACAAGCAGTTAGCTTCGGCGTTTACATTAAGTTCCCACGTCTTACCTACTGTTCAGATTTGACATACATCTGTATCTGTTTGTGTGTGTTGCTCTTCAGGTTGGACCCGGGTGGGCTTGCAGAGCAACATGGCATCAAAATGGGCGATCAAATCCTTGCAGCAAACGGGATCGGTTTTGATGACATCACCCATAGCAACGCAGTCGAGGTCCTGAAGAGCCACACCCATGTCATGTTGACCATCAGGGTGAGAGACCGTTTCATAGATACACTTAAGGTCACATTTAAATGCTGCATTTATCAATGGTTTATGTAAGCAACTCTGCAGCAACCTCTACTGTATGGCACGTTTTAGCCTCTTTAAGCTTATTGTATTAGTTTACCCTGCACTTCACTTTCTCAAAAAGAGCTCTATCAAAACCACTGTACACTTCCTCATCAGCACTAACAGCAACAACAAGTTAGTGATTACCTGGTGGACAAAATGGGGCATTTAGCAGCTGAGAAGTGAAATAGGAGTTGGAGGAGAACAAAACAGAGCTAAAAGTAGAGTTAATACTAGGTTTACATTCATCAAATGAATTCTGATGTTGTTCCATGTCAGCTGGTTGTGTAGATAGACAACACATATGTTAATTTCAACTTGAGAACCTGATAATATATCAATGTTGTGTTCACAGCCTGTTCCTTTTAAACGTCTAAAAGATCCGTAGGTTGTTTAAGTCTAATTTCAAAAAATGCTTTGGCCACTGCTGTAGTGTTGTATGACAATATGAATCATCTGCTCAGGTTTAAACATCACAATTGATTAGGTGCTGTGACAATAATAAATGTTACAGCATGTTAAACAACACCAGCTCTTCTCAGAGGACACAGAGTGATTCTGCACAGCAGAGCGAACAGCTGGCTCACAGCCCTTTAGTTCTGTATGTGTCTGTGTACGCATGCATGTGTGCAAGTGTGCGTTACTTAACCTGTGACATTCTTAGATAAAGGAGTTGTGTGTCTGTGTGTATTAAATGGGCACATGTGTGTGGTGCAGTGTGTTTGAGCGCTCTCTTAGCTCACTGACACTGCTACGTGCTCATTTTACTCCTCTGATCTCAGGTTCCGCGTGTGAAAAACAGACAGGGAGGACGTTAATTATTCAAAGGCAGTCAGGGATCAGGTTATAATCAACAGAACTGAATATTATGTCTTCCTTGTGTCCCCTATTAAACCCAATTGTGTATCACACATACGGCCACGGTTCATTGTAGTTAACAATCTCTGTCACACTGAGGCATCTATGGTTTTTGTGGAACATTTTAGAAGTGACCTTCATCTGTGTTATTTCTTTGACTTTAAACCATGTTGGTGAGACAATCCCTTAAAAAAGACTCAAGGCTATCGGGTACTAATTCATATAGAAAATGGCTCTTTCCTTGAAACCATTGTTAACTATGGCACTCCGCCATCGTAATTATTTTCCCTTTAGTGCATTAGCCCTTTTCAACTAAAATGTCATTATAACATTTTAGGGAGAGGTATAAGGATACACACATGGATACACACATGGATACACACAGGAAACATTTTGACAAACTAACCAGGCTAATAACATTGATGTTACAAATATGATATACAGCATATGAAGTAATACATATTAAATCAGATAATAGAGGCTATGTTATATATGTGCCAACCAAAGATATTTAAGTAAGTGCAACTTCTAGGTCTTACTCTGACTAAGTTTGCTTCTTTCTTTTCTACGGCTTTTATGACTTCATTGCCCACAATGTTTTCACTGAGTATTCATTTTATCATGTTTTTGCACTTCAGGAAGCCGGGAGATATCCTGCTTACAAGGAGATGGTGGCAGAATACGGCTGGCTCGACCAACGTATGTTGACTACTACATCAGAGATAATGTTTAAGATGAGTTTTTAACAGAGATGATGACTTAAGTAGTGGCATGAAAAGAGTAACTTGCATTCAAATACATTTTCTAGAAAAAAAATGTGCAGGATTTTACTTGGAAATCTTATAAACGAGAGTGGAACAGGGGACACATGTAGCCTGCTTACACTAAATCCCTGTCATTCAATTTCTTCACAGGACTCAAATGCCTTGTTCTTTAGTTTTATAACAGTACTTATGAACGTAGGCAGGGATTAATTCAGCAAACTTAAATGTCTGGAACAGAGCAGGGCCTGACATCTGGGTCACTCAAAGCCAGACAGAATTTATCCCAAACAAAGCAGATGGTGTAGAATAAGGAAATGAAGCTTCCTGTGCAAATCTTATTTACGTTTTAACCTCACAGCTGTATGTCTGTGTGCTGTGCTCATGTAATCATTGAACAGTTTCATTAGTTATTGCACTTGCAAAATAATAAAAAAACACCAATCCACATACTTCATTCTAATTATGGGTTGTTTTCTACAGAGGCCAATGGGGGCCGTGCTCCATCCTCCCAAGGATCAGACTCAAACTCTTCTGCCTCCTCGTGGTCCTCCAGCACACCTCTCAGCTCCCTCAGTGGTCTCTCCCAGGTCCTTTTCCCTCAGGTCTTTGGCCCAGACATGGTAGACATCGCCATCTCCACAGAGGACCGCTCCCGACGTCCAAGCAGCGCAGAGAGAACTGCTGACACCGCCATGCAGACCGACCCCCATCCTCCAAACTACCAGGACCACCCCTTAACTAATGGGTCCTTCCCTGAAATGCCAGTCACCACAGAAACCAGCAGGACTGTAGGGGCCACGGTGCTTCTGAAGGACACAGTGATTCGAGGGATAGGTGAAGGGCCGAAGGAGATGGGAGGAGCCGGAGAAGGAGGGCGGAGACGTACAAGGACGCTGTCATCTGGGAAACAGGAAGAAGTGAAAGAATCACCTAAGACAGCGGCGCTGATGGCCCTGAGCAGACCGCGTAAACCAATCAGACGTTCTCAGAGCCACACCACTGCATCAGGTGAGACCTTCAGGCTCACTGGGATCCTAAGGATTGTTTTGTCTCTTTATAGACTTAAATGTTATATTAAAGAAAGGGTTAGGTTATTTTAAAAGCTTTTTTTGTTGGAAGAATTCGTACAAATGTTCTTCCAGGATGGAAATTAGTTTTCAGTCACTTCATAAATATAGCTGACTCTTGATGGGTTCTCCAAAGCTGCCTACTACAGCTTTAATTAAAAAGATTGACAGTTTAAGACTGATAAGTTGGCTGGGTCGATATCCCAGGTGATATCAGTATTGTTGTTATGTTGGTACGTTTAGTATCAGGGTGTACTCTACTGTATTTTGGTTGTTGATTGCGGTGGCAGTTTCATCCATCTCAGTTGAGACATAATCCTCTCCAGAGTCCCTTCACGGTGAGAATTGCAGCTACAATCCAGATGAGATTGTTTTCAGTTGATTTTTGTGACAGTACCTCCATTCGCTTTGTAATGGGATCCACTCTCAAATCCTATAGCAATCCTCCAGCAGGTCATCTGTCACTTTAATGACCCAACTTCTTCGTATCACTCCAGGAAGTAAACAACAACAACAACCAGACTCCACATGGGTGATTTAAGCTCCACGTACAATTTGTCCGAGAGCCCAAAGTTCAACGCAGGCTCATGATTAATCACCAGCCTTTGCTCTCACTTGTTGTGCCTCTGTGAGGAATGAATACGAACAAGCATATGGAGGAATATCTCATCTGAGCCTTGGCTTGGCTGTTGAGTTATTAGTCGTTCCTTTTCAATTTATCCAGCTCATTCATACCTCCAAGACTCAGAGGGTGCACGGGATGAAGCTCAAGGCTTATTAGACATTTGTTATGTAAGCTGGAGCACTTCGCTGTAGTGCCTTCAATAGATAGGGCTGTGTTCAAGGTGGTGTAGCTGCAATTCATCAGTATTACTGTGTTACTTTCCACGATGGCAGATTTACTGCAGTGAACAGAGGAGCTGACAGGAAGAGAAATGAACAGTCTGTACTCATAACGGAGAGTGTGTATCACCAACTGTTACTGGCTATCAGCTTAGCATGGAGCAATACAAAGCCTAATGAATTATGTTTTCAACATACAGAGGTTAAATGTGGTATATTTCTATTATTCAATACCACTTAAGGAACACTTTCTGTGATTTAATCAAGATGTTTAGTTAAATTACTTGTTGTCGATATCTTAATTTAGCAGGTGTTCAAATTAGTTATGTTTCACAGCATTTGGTTTCGGAAATATATTTACATGTGCTTATTCAGAGGGACTTGACTGCTATTTTGTCTTTTTTTTTTTCGTCCATAGAGGAAAAACAAAAGAAAAAGAAACAGCAGAAGGAAAAGAGCACGAGAGAGGGTAAAACCAGCCTGCAGCGATCCAAAACCTTTGTCAACCTCTTCTTTAAGAAAGACCGTAAAGGGAAGAGCCGCTCCAAGTCACCGTCCCACCAAGCAGACAAAGGTGAGTGCACGGTCACAGGACATCTCTTTTCCTCCCAGGCTCAAATTATGCATCCCAAACAGTAAACTATAGCCTAAGGTTTTGCCGGAATTGCCATTTTGTTCCACTTCAGTTATTATATTTAAATCGCTGAACAAGTCAGAGATATGTGCAGCAAACTACAGTGTCCTGTTTCATATTACATTTATGGCATTTTGGGGATTCCAGTCCATTACATAGTTGTTCTTATCTGTGAGTTCATAAGTTCAGATCAGTTATGGCCACCCGAGGTAACACTGGGTAGCAATTAACACACTCACGTAAAATACTGTATATCGTACTTGTAAGGTGAAATCTTGATTTTGTGAAAACATCTCATGCCGCCTGCACATGTTTTTGTATGCATGTGGTTTATTTCAGTCTTTATTACTTTATTTTCTCAGATAAGGAGCGGGGTCGTTCCTTCCAGCTCTTGACCTCTCCGAGGGAATCCCGTGCTGGGGTTAAAGACAACAGCCCCCTGCCCCGACCAGAGACCCTGAAGCATGTGGAGGACATGGCCAAGAGACTGCTCAGTCAGGATGAGGTGGCTGCTGTGATGAGACACTGCAGGCGGGTGAGTTCCTGATCTGGAATGACCCTCTCCAACACCACACTCACTCTCCTGTGTGTGTTTTTGAATGGAAACCTGCTGGCTACCTTGAGGCTTAAGTGTGTATTATTGTCCCCAGTGTCACTGAGTGTCCTTTAGCGGTAGCTGTGTCTGGCAGCAGCTTTGACCAAAGATGGATTTGGCCTGTCATTTATGATTAGGATCAAATGTCAGGAGTCAGTTGATCCCCTAGTCCCTTTTGTCCCATCTCACACTCATCGGACAATTTTAGAGATTAGCTAGTTTGTCTGCCCTTTACCACCACTGCAGACGATATCAAGTTTAGGTAGTTAAAGTCTAAAAACACCTCAAGTTAAACGGCTGCTTCAGCAATTTAGTATTGCACCATATGTGAAGAATACTAACGGTTTATGCAGCAGAGCCTGAGATCCCCTGACCCTTGGTCCCCAAGTATAGTTGTTAACTTGTTACATTTCCCATAATGCACCATGATAACCGTCCTCTCATTAGACTTTGTGCAGCACATCAGTTTAATAACCTGTATTGGAAATATAATATATGGGATCATACCTCCAAAATAATGACCATTTTCACGTAGTTTATCTTGTGACAGGATAACTTAAAGGTGGGGAAGGTCATTTTGGAGAAACCAGCTCGAGTGAGCTAGAATTTGAAAATACACAGCCGGAAAGAATCTGCCACTTCCTTACAGAGCCTCTCCTCCAACACACACGAACGTGCACATGACCAATGAGGGCACAAGATAAGTTTGTGCACAGATGGAAGGCTGACAGGCAGGTAGGCCATCCAGTTATTTTAGCCGAGCCGGCTAAAATGATTGGTCGTGCTTTTTACAGTACTACGGCTTCCACAGATGACATTTTTTTATGGATTTTTTGTCAAAGCACTTCAGATATTCATTGCTATCGGGATGTTAAGAGCATTCCATGGAATATAACAAAAAGTGTATCTCGAGCCGGTTTCTCAAACTTACCTACCCCACCTTTAACTTGATGTGTAAAATTGGTAGGTGCCCCTTTAATAATCATAAGATAGCCTGATAGAAAATTGTCTTTATTCACAACCACAATAGTTTCTTTCTCTTATTCTTATTTTCTCTTCTAATTTGTGTACCAATCTAACCTTTCCCCTCAGTTTTTATCCGAGAATGTGACTGAGGATTTGGTGCGTCCTCTTTTGGCAATCTTGGACAGGCCAGAGAAACTGCTGCTTCTCAGAGAAATAAGGTGAGATTCCTAAAGTAAATGCACAGTATGTGTTGAAGTGAGTAGATCTACATGATGCTGTCTGACTCCTCTGCAGGATGCTGATTCCTACATCAGAGCTGGGTCGGTTTGACAGCATGGTCATGCCCTTTGAGCTGGAGGCGTACGATATTCTTAAGAGTCGCTCTGGTAAGCAGAGGAATGCACTGAACATCACTTTTCTGATTATTCTTATTGATACAACTCAACATAAAAAGTTAGAAACAGCTCGAAAAGATTACACATAACAAAGTGATTTATGGAGCGTTATAGTTTTAATTTTTTTCCTTTTCTTAGTTCGTTCTCCAGCTCTGCGCTCCCCTCGCAGTGGAACCCCTCGCCGCCACCTCATCACGCCTGTCCCAGGTACATAATATGCTACATTTCTTTCCTCCTCTTACCCTTTCTCTTACAAAATCTCTCTTCTGACTCCCTCTCTGTCCGGTTGTGTCCTTTCTCTAATCCCAAAGTAACACAAGATACACGAGGGGCTTAAGCCTCTCACCTCCCACTCTTACTCTTCCTCCCACACCTCCTTTCTCTCCTGCCTCATCTCCTATCTGCAGTGTCAAACTGAAACACCTGCAGGCACAGACCGTATCCCATCCTTGGCATTCCACACACACCTCCCGGCCTCACATAAAACACACTTACACACAAACGCACACTAAATATCTCAGGTTTCCTGTGCCTGTGCTGAAGCAGAGGCTTGTGTTACATCTCTGTGGCCAACAGAAAGGGGATGAGACGAGCCACCCTGACACTCTAACAATACAGAGATGCTTTTATCCTTCATCTCATTCAGGATTCATTGAGACACAATCAATACAGTCTTATCTTAGACTGACTGCAGCCTTCTCTCTTTCTCAAATCACAGGATAGGGGTCACAGGGTCAACACTACCATTTCAGTTTGGTGCTCTGCCTCACCAAAAACTGTTTTGCTAAGACATTGTGAATTTGACATGCTTATATTCTTTTTTTCTTCAACATTTTATTCCTATTTTACTGTCAAATTCTATAGTGTTGTTGTTTTATGTTGTTTTATGCTGCTGTTATCTCTTAGAAAGGCTTATTATGATGCATTATGTATTCCAATAGTTCTATGTCAAAACACATAAAATCCAATCCATATTTTGCCATTCAGACAAGCGTGTTAGTGTTAACTCATCACCCTCTGTTTAACACTTGATGGAAACACTTTAGGATCTTGCATGAAGAAGCTTGTGTTAACCTTTTTGTGGTATCAGTATTACAAGTGTGTAGGTTATAGGTTACAATGTTGTTTACTTTTTATATTAAAATGCCCAGTTAAGGAAGTACAATTGTATTCTACAATGAGCGATTACTATTGCAATACAATGGCAATCCTAGAATGAGATCCCTAGATTTTGAAAAGTGTTAAGAAGTATGGTCATATCTTTGGTTATAGTGCATCAATTTTGATCATTTCACACTGCCTATTGTGAGTGAAATGCTCAATCAGTGGACTCATCTTTTATCTACTGCTGACTGGCTGTTTCGACACATCACTGTGTTTATGTTCAGAAGTTTTTCAGATGTTTTCTGATATAACGTCTACCACTGCATGGTTAAAGTTCAACTTAATTTTTTTATGTCGTCCAGACTACAGGGGTGGGTTCCACCTCCAGCCGGTCCAGGACACCCAGCCGGAGCGTCAGTTGATTGAGGATTTCGAGAGGTTGCGTTTTTCTGGCCAGCAGTCAGGCCATCTGCCTCCATCCCGTGCCTTCACCCCTCTGCTGGATGTACCTGTGGACAGCTACACCTCCTCCACCGGGCGCACCCGCTCCCTGAGTCCCTCGCTCACCCACAGCTTACTCCTCACAGAATCCCCTCACAGCACCCAGCGTGGGCGCCAACCCCATCGCTCTCCCAACAGAAGAGAAAACGGGGCCTCGCGGTATGATGACGTCTCCTTGTTGTCAGCGTCTGACCGAGGAGACCTTGATCGAGGGAGGTCACCTGTGAGGAACGGCCATGTGAGGGCAAGGAGGGAGGTGAGTCCTGACAGCATGGAGGGCAGACAGCGCAGGCAGGAGGGCTTCACAGAGGTCAGCGTTCGCGTTCCTTCACAGCGGAAAGGGAGAACCCCTCTGTCTGATGTGTTCGAGCCCCAGAGAGACAAGAGTCCATCTACAGGCAGAGAGAGCAGTCAGCAGCTCAATGGACATTCACAAAACGGTCACGGTGTGAAAAGAAGAGCACCTGAAGAGTATGCAATCAACACTTTGACCATCACCAAGGTCAAGCAGTCACTGGGTGAGTTATACAGAAATACATGTATTTCATACTTATTTGAGTTGATTTGATTGTTTTAAGTGTAAGTCTTATTCTATGAACTAGTTGTTCAATATATAGAATACAAACTGCCAAATGACTTGTTTAAAATAGTACATTTTGATGTTTTCATCCTCACATATCTATTACATCACCAGTAGAGGTCAGGGTATCACTTACTTGTGTACACTATTAGACTACCAATTGCACTTTTATGCAATCCCTCAGTCTTTTAATATATTATTTTGCTGCGTGTTTACAGGTATTAGTATCTCTGGAGGGATGGAGTCAAGAGTGCAGCCCATGATAAAGATTGAGAAAATATTCCCAGGAGGAGCTGCGTCTACAAATGAGTCTCTTAAGGTGGGCAGTAATGGCAGAAACAGGAAGACAGGAAACCACACCTCTACATGTCACATAAATGGGTGTCAATTGAATGGTGTTCACAAAATCAGAATATGTTTATGACTTAAGCCCAGAGAAAAAGGACATCTTTACACCATAAGTATTGAAAATGTACTCTGTTCATACTACCCTCGTTTTGTAGTAGATGTCCGTCCTGGTTGTGGTGCTGTGTAAGTACCGGCCACACCTCTGTCCTGTGGTTATGAGTTATTGTTGTTGTTCCTATACGTAAGCATGTCTCTGAGGGAGAGGTTTAGAGTGTGCAATGAGGAGTGGAGAAGAAGATAAAGGAGAGCCGTCTCAAGTATCCCACCCCCTCCATTATTAATGAGGTACACAGGTGCTGTTCTGCTAATGTATTGGTAATATATTGCCTGCACAGTAACTTAACAGTCGTCCGTGATCTTGGCCAGTTAAACACACCTGATACACGCACTCATTCACTGCAGCTAACCACAGGCTAATTCTTGACTAGAGCCAAACAACACTTGCATTAAGATGCTATCACTACTCAGGTCTAATGCCTGATTAGATTGAGAAACATAAGGGGGATCCAGTATCTGTCCATCCTTTCATATTCAAATAACTTCCTTTGTACTGTCCCTGACTGCACTCACCTAATACACAGACACATGTGTACACTGTGCACGTAATCTCTGACAAGACGAACAGAAAGTAAAGTAGATATCATGACTAATTATAGTTTAGTTATTAAAGGGAATAAGCGAAGGATAAGCGTGACCTGCTGGTGACACTAGAGAAAGTGGATGATAAGTGGATTCATCTTCTGGGAACCACAAATAGCTTTACTAAATCGTGTGTTATTTCTCAATAGCTGTGGATATATTTCAATGAGGTTCAAAGTTGGTAATGACCCACATATTGCTGCTATCATAACCAGAGACGTTGTTGCTACTGTTTTCTGTTGTCTCCAGCTCACACCTCACAATGAGGCATGTCAGCTCACCAATCAGCTCGCTGGCTCAGTTCAAAATCCCCCTTCTCTCCAGAGAGACGAGGGGCGTAACATGCATCCTTTCTCCTTAGACCTGCATGATAACATACAATCAGTGAAAAATGAGTGAGTGTGTAAGAGTGTGGTTATGTGCACTCATCATTTCCTGTTTGTTTGACAGTGCCAGCTGGAAATCTGGACATGAGTTTCTCACGTGCCTTTATTGAACTGTGTACTGTAAGAGTGTGCGGTTAACACACAACATGTGTCAGGCTGAATGGTAAACAAAAACAGTATTTTAGTAGCATTTAGTAAGTGTTTAGGAACAAATACCTTCAAACCTGAGCAAGGTCTGGCTTGATACCATTTGAGCTAAGTGAGAGAATATGGATTTTACTTATAATTTCAGAATCTACAATGAGATGCCCCACAACTGTTAGTGTAGGGATATGTTTACTCATCTATAGAGATTTTACTTATAATAAATAATACAAAAAGCCAGAACTTCACCCCTCCTAAACTGAATAATGTAGTATATAATGACCTGGAAAACCACATTATGAACGAGTCACTGATCCCTCCAAGTAACTGTAGTGGTTTTTACAGGCCGTGTTATTTTTGGACCGTGACGTCCATTGGCTAAGAGGAAACCTCATAAATGGGCTCCATAAATGGCCGTAAAGAGGATCGGGCAGATTAGGTTGCGATTTATTTAATTCACATAAATTACTTTTCAAAAATGGGAAAAAACACTTTTAATCTCCTCTTTGGTTAAATGAATCTTTTGATGCTGTCCTCACGGAAGGCTCTGAGGTTTTGACACACACGGCTGTCTGATGAGTTGTGAAGAAACCTGTCTGAACAAACACATGTCCAGCCTCCTCCTAAACAAATGTGTTTGACCCATAATAGATCTAACGGGCAGGTGCAGAATGAAAGAAAAACAAGCCTCTTTGTGTCTAATCACTGGAAAGGAAAAGGGAAAGGGAAGAAAGACGTGATCGTTGAAAATACAACAATGGCCATTGGCCTTGCGTGTTTCTGTGTTATGTGTTTCTACCCTTCACTGAGGTTGAGCACACGAGGCAGGTGCATCCTCGTCAAACCCAGATGACATCGGGGGAAGTTCCTCGCCTCAGGCCTCCAAAGTTATATCACTCTCTTCTCGCATCCTGCAGGAAGCATTGAGAGAACTGTCACAAATGTGTGTGTGTTTGTGTGTGTGGTTGTGTAAGTGCATGTTCTTTTTTTTCAACAACCTTGTGCTGAAGGGGAAACTTTATATGTGCACTAGTGACGGCCTTCAGTGTGAATATATTAAACTAACAGGAGGGCCCAATTCTCTCAAAAATAAATCAGGTTCCCGCTAAGGGACACAATCACTGCAGATTTATGGAAACTGTCCATGAGGGAAAAGAGAAACAAGGGGAAAGGATCAAATACAAAGATATACTTTATGTCATCATGCAATTTATATAATAATAATTCTTACCCTTTGTTGACAGTATTGCATGTTAAACATTTGACCTTGTGTTTGCATTTGCAGGCAGGATATGAGCTTTTGTCCGTGGACGGCGAAAGTCTTCAGGGGGTGACTCATCAGCACGCGGTGGACGTTATTCGCAGAGCGTTCAGTAACAAGGCCAAAGACCCGATGGTTTTTATGGTCAAGGTCCCAAAGGTCCCCAGCAGCCCCAGGAAACCTGCGGACTAACCTCTGTGTGCCTTACAGTCAAACTGATGTTCAGGCATGAGGACACAAAACCTGCAAGTCCTGCGCTAGTGAATGAATCCAGGATTCACTCCAGAAGAAGAAATATGAGACAGCTAGATCTCCGGTCAGTGTGGAGGGGAACGGATACACAGAAGCATGTGTCCTATGAAAGGCAGAGTTATGACAGTAAATATGTCAAATAAAAGGTGGACATTAGAGAGAAGGTTTTTACGACTGCTACAGTAGTTTATTTATCAGGACACCGATAAGATCCAGTTTGCTACAATGTAATTAAGTGCACTTCAAATGTAATGTACGTTTTTTAACGTTCTTAGTGTTTTTAGCAAACATTTGACTTAATACATACATTGCACATCAACTAGACAAACACTAAGTAATACAGTTTTGTGATAATTGAATTCATGAACTTGGTTGAAATTGCGGCATTGTTTGACTCCTGGCAACCCTGCCGTGACCTCTAAGTCTGATAGTGGTCTGTGTTTTTCAGCTGGAGCATCTCCTTCCACAGGCCTGCCAGAGAGAGATTACCCCAGCCTGCGTTATGAGATTTATAGATTTATACACAGATTAAAACCCTGTATTATGTCAAAACTGATAGTTTGGGTTTAGTGGATGTCAGGGGGGATTATTACGAATTGCTGCTCAGTATTTTTGTGCCGTTTTTCTGGCAAAAGTGCTTGTGCTCTGGAGCAATCCGCCACTTTAGAGGCTTAATTACACCCCGCTGTGGACTGAGCTTATGCAGACATGTGGAGGAGTTGGAAAAACATGTCAATGAGAAATGCAGGACATGAAGGCCAGTGGTATGGTTTAAATTAAAGTCGGGTAGAGGTGATATGGGCAGCAAGGTAACTGGAATACAGTGTGCGTAGTGCCTTACTTATGTAGATGGCTAATGGGGAGAAATACATACAAATGTGCTAAAAAAGCGAAAGTTAAAACGTTTTGATTCAGAGATGCAATTCAAAGATGAAATTGAACATATCTATTGAGTTACCATAAACAATAAAAGCTCATTCAAAATACTGCTTTAATTTCATGTTTCAGGTAAAAAAAGTTCAACAGTAACGTGTGACAACTTGTTCTTTAATTAAAAAACACAGTCATTTGTACAAGAAATGTACACATAAAAATATACATGGACAACTAGATACTTTGTGAATTACTGAAGACACAATGTAAGTAAACATTAAAAAAAATGCACACAAAAGGATGAGAAAAATGCCACAAAAAAAGAAAATGTGTTACGTTGCTTTGGTCTAGTCACAGTGGCTACATTTGAAATAGATATTTTGTCTAAATAAAAGACAATGTCACTCTGTTATACTATTTAGTGTTTTACATATTTACAAGGGGAAAATGGTTATGCAACGAAGAGAAACTGAGATGTGAGGAAAGAATTTAAGTCTACGGTGCACACAGTACTTGTCAGGTTGGTTGTTAATCTGTATCTTTACTGCCTTTATGGTGAGTGTGTAACAGTCTAGGTCTGGTTGACAAATTGAATATGGGTTGGACAAACCCAACTTGTTCCATTCTTGGTCACTTCCCATGGCTTTATGTTGATGTATACAGAACTAATAATCTAAACATTCTCTCAATCCACAGTGAATGTGGTGAGGTCATGCAAAATATAGTCTGACAATCATACTGATACACTTTCTGAAAGGGGTATGATATCATTTCCAGGTATATGAAAATTAACAATGTTCTGGTTTGCATCTGCTGCGGCCCTAACCTAATGAACAATCACCATCTCATGCGTTTTTAAACTACTGACGTGCACGAAACCCAACGCTGCTTGATACTGAGGATCAAACGAAAGATCAATCAAAAAGGAGGGACAACAAGTCAAAAATGAACCTTAACAAAGCTCCCAACTGTTTGTATCAGATGCAAAATTTGGTCTTTAGAGTGTATGCTAATGTCACACAGATTATATAATGTAAACATATTCTCATGCATTACAGTATTAGGTGCACTCCTTCTATGTTGCCACCTCCACTTATAACTGATCCATCATTTGAATTATTTGTATGTGATAGATATTTATATATATATATATAGAAGTCTTTATGTTTTGTTTATTAAACCCACACTTAAATCAGTACTACAACAAAATATCTTCAGGTGCTATATATAAAAAAATATACAACATCTCCTCCATTATATAGATTTCCATTTAATGATTATTCCTTGATATAGACTATTTGTAAAATAAAAGTTCTCAGCCCTCTTCTTTTTTTCAGTAGAGACCCGCCATGAGCAGTGTTCCCCACAGCCCTGCATATACTGTGAGAAAACAGCTTCAAATGTGAACATACTCCCCACCGGTTTATATTTAGGGCTTTTAAAACCGACCTGCCTTGAGGACAGTCAGCTCTGGAGCTACTGCGTCTGCAAACTCACATCTCACCGCTACCTGAACCGGCTTCCTCTGAAATCTGATACAACGAACAACGACATGCAGGCATGCCAGTCTTGCTACCTATATAGCAGTCAGTGACGTTATAGTCTAAGGGAGTCTAGGAAGACTTTTAAAGTGTTATTTGGCTTTGGGCTGCCAAAAGCTAAATAAAGAGCACTAATGGGAATGAGGGAGAATAAACGGAAACTCTGAATAAGCATGCCTTAAATCTCTCAATGACGTCACGACCAAAGAAGAATTTGCTCCAATTTTAGTTTCCTGATACCAACTGCCAGCTGTTACAAAAATAGAGTAATAAGCAGAGATAGAGATGGAGAGAGAGAGTGCACATAGAGACAAAGGCAGAAATAGAAAGAAGGAGGAGAATCAGTAGAATATCTCCAATGCTACACCTTCTAATGCTACATCATTGTAAAATGTAAATGTTTATGTCAGAGCTTGCACTCTTGCAACAGCATCACTGTTGGTGGTCTAGAAACATAAGCAGCGTCCTTTGAGCGTTTGTTTCCTGTGTCCTTGGTGCTTTGGGAAATTAGGATGTCCTTATATGAATGTCCCAACTTGTTTGTTGAAGTCTGATGTCTTGCTCAACAAAAACCACAGTTCAGGACAAAAAATAAAAATAACACCATGTTTCCCTTGGAGAGCAGATTCTTTGATGATGACCATTTATACTGCATTACTCTGGATTGATAACAGTCACATACATTCTTTAAAAAAAATACCAACCTGCTGAGGAATTAGAGCTCAAGAACAAAAATAGGATTCTTCTTGTATTAATTGAAAAGATGAATTGCACGGCTGAGCCTCGTGGAGGACCAGTTCAGCTGTTGTTATTGTTGTTATGTGGAAGGGTAATCAATGTAATCATCTTTAATATCTTGCAGCGGCGGTGTTGATAGGAGTGTCATGATGCATCATAACATGCATGCTGGTGGCCGGGTGTTTAGCTGTATGTGCTACAGAGAAAGGCGCGACTGCACTTTGACTGCTGTGCCTGTATGACATTTTTTGCTTCAAGTGCCCGACGATTTTTAATACCCTGATTTGAATGTGGTCTGAGGAAGAAACGCTGTCTTCACTGCTTTTGCTCCCACAGAGGGGAAATAAGTCTTTGTGCTGGCTTTGTAGTGGAATAAACCTGTTAAAAGCGCCGGAGGGGACACTTTATAAGGATTTATTGGAGTACTTCTCTGTTGGTAGAAAGTAAGAATGCACCTTTGGGAAATGTCCCTTTTGACAAGGACGAGTGGTCGGTGGTCCACGTGAAGCCATTTTGAAGATAGTGCAGTATTTGGCCTGGAGTTCAATGTTTGTTTGACCTCCTCTGTTTTTTTTGTGAGTTGTGTTTCCATGGTCCTGTGCACATAATAGTATAAGTGTATTTTTAGATCTCAGTGGCGGTGATTTCCTCAAAGTGGATGTCGTTGCTGCCACTGTGCACCTCATAGTCCTCCATGTCCCTGTTCTCCAGCTCCAGACTCAGCTCCCTCATCACTCGCTCCAGATCCCGGTTCCTACGGTACATCTGGATGTAGTTCTGCTGCAGCTGTTTCTGGTAACGGATTACCTGGGCGGAGGGAAGGACAGTAAGTAAGTAAAACAGTACGCTGGATCAGAATAAGCTATTTTGACATGTGACTGAATGAAAATGACAGAAAGTAAATCCCCAAGAAATTAGGAAAAAATTCTCCTTTTTACTTTTTCCTTCTCCTCCTGCCACACCCTCCTCTCATCCTCAAACCGTGACAGCTGCTCCTCGTTAGTCCTCCTCTCGTACATGAGTTCAGCCTTTAGCCTCTCCACCTGGGAGAAATGAAATAAAAGAAGGTAAGAAACTGCACTAATAAGATGGTGGAGGACGTCACAATAACCATTCATTTGAGTATTAGTATCTTGTACCTGTTGTCTGAATCCCAGCACTGCTTCTGCGTTCTGCCTCTGTGCCTTCGCCTCATCGCTCTCCCCTCCCCAGACTACATGAGTGTCCTCTGCATCCCGGTACAAAGAGGGACTGGGACCCCCCCTTCCTGTCACTCCTCTTCCCTGCTGGAGGGAGAGGCTCATGCAATGTCCCTTCATGCTTAGATTTGCAGGAAGAGAGTGTCCGCTGTGAAGGGAAAGAGTGTCCCGGAGGCGAGCTGACTCCTCTTCCAATCGGCCTGCTTTCTCCCGCAGCAGCTCAGCTTCGCTCTTGCGCCTCTGGAGTTCATTCTCACAGACTTCTAGCTCCAGAGATCTCGTCCTCAGGGCCATCCCAGCCTCGCGGGACCGAGCCTGGCTGGCCTGCAGTTCAGAACGGGCTTCTCTCAGCTGAGCCTTCAGCATCACGATGTCTCCGGCCTTCTGGCTGAGCTCAGACTGGATCTCCTTCAGCTGCTGCTTCAGGAGGGAGATCTCTCCGGACTTCTGACACACCTGAAGGGTCAAGAGAAGGCAAGTTAGAGACGGAGCTGAGATCGCTGAAAATACATAACAAATTGCTTAAAAGCCGTGTATCAACAATGACTCTTTAACCTTACTTTTAGGGCTGTTTTATGCTTTCATTAGTATGTCAAGAGACCCCCTGCCAGATTTGAACAAAGGCAGTTCACAGGGCACCTTGAATGGCTTTAATCACCCTGACCGGATCCCTCCACTCACCTCCCACTTTGTCTCTTCCAGACGTGGCCCCAGCTGGGTCTGCTCCCTCTGGATGGAGGCACACCTCCGTTCCAGCGTCTCTCTGTCCTGCAGCAGAGAGGAGAAGTCCTCCTGCAGCTTCTTTTTCTCTTGCTGTAGTTGAAATACCTGACGGCACACAAAGATACATATTTTAAAACTGAATTACAAGTCGATCTACAAAAAGACATGCCCCCTCAAAGAAAGAATCTACAGACTCACATCTGAAGCAAGAGACTTGCAATGTAACACATTTGAACATCTCTGTCTGGGTAAATGTTTTAAAAGGTTTTTAGAAACTTAGCGTACCTGTAACTGTAGCACCTGCTGTGCCCTCTGGGCCTTCTGCGAGGCTTGCTTCATCTTCGTGGCGCAGCTCTGTCTCAGCTCCTCCATCTCTCTTTCACAGCGACGCTGCTTCTCCTCATACACCTTTCAGATCAAAAGACACGGGTAAGAGTTCAGAGGTCAATATTGAACTTTTACTAACATCTAATCATGTCTTTTTTATTGTGTGTTAAAGAAAGGTTTGGTCGGTGGTGAGTGTCTTACCTGGCAAATGGCAGCTTCATTCTCATCCAGGTTTTCCCGGAGCTGCTGCAGCTCCAGGTCTCGTTCCCTCAGCTTGTCCTCCAGCTCCCTCACCACCCCCTCATAGCCCTCCACAGGTGGCGGCGAGTGACCACAGGACCCACTGTCCGACAGGGGCTGCCCGCGCCCACTTAGAGACCCCGAGCCTGTGCTCTTGCTGGATGAGGAGCGTCCACTGTCTGAGTTAGTGTGGCCGTGGCTCCCATTTCCACCTGAGGTGGTTCGGCCGAGGCCCGTCACAGGCTCCAGCTGGCCCCCCGAGCCAGACCCCGAGCTGGAGCCCTCGCTGGGGGCCAGACTGTAGCCTGTGCTGCTGTGAGTCGGGAGGCTGGAGAGGGAGTTCCTTCCTGAATCTGACATGGAACAGGACTGGCTGCTCCGAGCATTTCGACCCCCGCTGTAGGAGTTGCGTTTCCCTTCAGTGCTGGAAGTGCTGCTCACTACGAGGCCGTTTGTGCCGCCGGCGCCGTTGGACCCCCCGAGGGGCAGTAGGAGGTTGATGCTGGCCTGGCTCTCCGACAGACTGCTGGGCGCTGGCCGTGGTGACAGGTAGTGCACAGAGTGACGGTTCTTGGGAATGACAGGTTTGAACGCTGTAGGACGGATCAGCACTTTCTCCATGTTCTGAAAGTACATTATTATGACATACAAAATTAGTAATTGATAAAGCTAAGCTGTGCTAATTAGCAACGGCTGAATAAAACTCATTACAGAGGGGGACAGTGATATGTTGGTAGGTCACCCCTCTAGGCTCTGATTAGTTTAATTTGGTTAAATTGATATTCATGGGCTTCATTAAGCAATTTTCTTAATGATTTTCCTAAAATCTTAGATAGAGAGAGACAGGCAAGAGGGGTAGAGGACAGAGAAAATAAGATTAAAGGGCAGATAAACAAAGAGGAGGGTGAAGAGTGGAGGTTGAGGCTGGTGAGAGCTCTGCACATGTTCAGTAAGCATTTTACTTCTTAATGATCTTCCTCAGGGTTCACTAAATATGTCAGTGAATGTTAGCGATCTCTGACATTGATCATGATGTGTCTGCAAGGTGAGTAGCTGTCAAATGATCCATCCAAGCCTTACAGGCCAGTGATTAAGCTTCCCTCTGGATCGATGGAAATAAATAGCCAGCACATGCTGCAGGAATGCTCACATCTGAGTAAGTGTTTCATGAGGACAGTGTGTAATCTATATACCTGCAATAAGCAAAAATAAATCTGCCTGGGTGATTTATCGCTCTAGCTATTCAGCCTGCAGCTCTCACCTTCTCTAACTGTCCGGACACTGGGATTAGTTTGGGAGGAGGCCCTCCAATGTTGCCGTTCAGAGCCCTGTTGTCCTTTTGGTCCTCCGAGTCACTACAGGGACTAACAGCTGCCACCATGAGGTTGTCGTTCCAGTCTCCAACCAACACCTCATCGCTCACATACCCAGAGTTCCCATTAGGGCCACCACCTACTGCTCCAGCAGCCGTTCCTCCCCCTGGCCCAGTACAGTTACCAGGCCGGGGCTGCTTCTTGGTGGGCAGTGGTGGAGGCAGGACCTGGGCCTGGGGAAGCGTTTGGTTGCTGATAACCAGCAGATGCTCAACGGAGCTCCCGCTGCGGAGCGTGTTGTCCTGGAGCCGGAAGCAGCTGGTGGCCGGGGTGGATCGGCGTGACTTGGTGGAGAACTCGCTGGCGGCCCGGCAGTGTTTCTCCTGATACGTCCGGCCTGATATGAGGCTGCTGACAGAACCCATGGCTGTCCCAGGGCTGCAGGGCCCACAGGGGCCCGGGCAGGGGCCTGAGGGGGAGTGGGATGATAGTGGCCGGTACTGCTGGATGTCGAGACCTGGATTGGGGTAGTCAGTCACGGTCACAGGTAGTGCCTGTACCAGAGCCATGGCACCCTGACGGCGTCAGACACACCACACACACTGATGAGAGGGAGAGAGAGGGACATTTTTTTACATTAATGACTGACACAGATTATGTATTTAAAAGCAAATGTAGTACTGTATGCTAAAACACTATACCAGCGTGGTGAACATGGTTACGGTTATACATCAGCATTTAGCTCAAAGCACCACCTAAGTGCTAAATGCTGAAAAAGTAAGTGTTAGTGATGCATTTTACTGTAAAAACATACTATGGCTATTACTTAACATATTTCTCTATCTTGTGTGAATTTAATACAGATTATTTTTGTAATTTTGCAGAAAATAAAACAGCAAACATTTTGTCTTGTCAAAGCACAAAATGTTTTCAAGATTTTTTAAATATATTAAAATGATCTCTGTTCAATTTACTGTGTCCCAGTAAGTCATGTCATACAATACCAGCACCCTAAAACTGAAACAGCCGAATGGAAACTAGAGAATCACATCCATGGGTTAAAAATATGTAAATGAGACTCATCTGGTAAGTGGTATAGGGCTCATCATCTTATCATTATTCTTCAATTCCTCAAAAATAAAATGATTAAATAAATAATTTTCAGTATTTTCAATTTTGTTCTTTACATATACAGTGGGGCAAAAAAGGATTTAGTCAGCCACCAATTGTGCAAGTTCTCCCAATTAAAAAGATGAGAGAGGCCTGTAATTTTCATCCAAGGTATACCTCAACTATGAGAGACAAAATGAGAAAAGAAAATCCAGAAAATCACATTGTCTGATTTTTAAAGACTTTATTTGCAAATTATGGTGGAAAATAATTATTTGGTCAATAACAAAAGTTCATCTCAATACTTTGTTATATACCCTTTGTTGGCAATGACAGAGGTCAAACGTTTTCTGTAAGTCTTCACAAGGTTTTCACACACTGTTGCTGGTATTTTGGCCCATTCCTCCATGCAGATCTCCTCTAGAGCAGTGATGTTTTGGGGCTGTCGCTNAGAAAAAGTTAGCTGATTTCCCCCTACAAATTACTCCATTACTGGTGTCTGTAAACTTCTCTCCCGTCCAGGAGAGAAGCTTTAAAAGGAGACTAAATGGAGTCTCTGTGAAAGTTCAATTGGGTACTTTAATTAAAAAAGGCGCGGGTTGGTCACAAGCATGATATTGTTCAGTCAGACAAACAGCTGTGATCCGCTCCTCGTTAGGGAAGAGAAGAGGCCGATCTCTCCTCCGGTGCTGTTATATATCCTCTGCTGGCTCCTCCCCGCCAGCCGGCTCGCCTCGTCTCCAATGTCCGTTGTTATATTTAAAGAGAGGATTGGTTCTTTTCACATTCAATATATGCTTAACACGCCTTTTCTCCTCATATTCTCTTTCATCACTTTTCATGTAACACATTCTAAACGCTGTAATCAATACTCTAAAACATATTTCTCGGGTCGTTCGGTTAACGGTCATTCCGGATGTTGTCACATGCTACTGTCGTCTGTAAACAATAATGTATTCAAATAAAATGTACCTTCATTTAATATTCAGCATGGTAGTATCTCGACATCTATAGTTGTAGTGTTAAATCAGTAGGCTTCGGTTTGCACCACTCCATATAATTTCGCTACTAAATTCACCTCTTTTGGAAATTGTAAATTTACCACATGCTAACTGCCACCCGGAGATGAAAGAGTTTCAGAATAAAGCTTAACAGCTGGTGTTGCACAAGAATTTCCGGTTTTTCAGTGTAAAACTGCATTAAAACTGACGGCATGTTTAAACTACATTTCCCCATTAAAACATTGATTTTAATTTCTAACATGTCCCATTAAACAACGGGTGAAACGTTAATGTAGACCATGTTTATTTCAGTAACAATGCCAAAAAGATGAATGAAGACGTGTTAATACTGTAATTACTAGCTTTTACGTTCTTTCAGCCGGCTGGCTAAGCTAACACGTCAATGGCAACTGTAATTTCTAGCTTCTACATTCTTTCAGCCAGCTAGCTAAGCTAAGCTAAGCTAATAGGTCAACTGCGTTGTAGCGACCCGGCTGCGCACACTTGACTCGGTAATGTCACGGCCAGCAGAGCAGATAGGCTTGTTTGAGACAAGCGAGACCTGCGCAGACCTGCGCAATTTCGATCAACGTCTTGCTCGTGCGTTGCATGATGGTTAGTCATTTTGTCCGACCTTAAAGTTGTTTGCAATCCGCCAAAAAAACGAGAGAAGAAGAAGGCGAAGCAGCAGAAGAAGAAGAAGAAGAAGAAGAAGAAGAAGAAGAAGAAGAAGAAGAAGAAGAAGAAGAAGAAGAAGCCGACTCGGAGCTGTCCGACTTCAGGCGAGCTTTTTGAGACCTCCCCCGGCTGCGATCGGCTATTCTCGTCTACTTTCGAGGCGAGCCGCAACGCGTCTCAAACAAGCCTAGTGTTCTTCTAGGTCAGTGGTCACCAACCAGTCGATCGCGATCGACCGGTCGATCGTGAGTGTGGTGCGGGTAGATCGCGGACCGTTAACAAAAAAAGTAACAAAAGAAAGAAAAAGAAAAGAAAAATAATGTTTGAANTCAAACAGTCACACTCCAAACTCCACTATGGCCAAGACCAAAGAGCTGTCCAGTCTTCCCAGCCTGGTGCAGGTCTACAATTTTGTTTCTGGTGTCCTTTGACAGCTCTTTGGTCTTGGCCATAGTGGAGTTTGGAGTGTGACTGTTTGAGGTTGTGGACAGGTGTCTTTTATACTGATAATGAGTTCAAACAGGTGCCATTAATACAGTTAACAAGTGGAGGACAGAGGAGGCTCTTAAAGAAGAAGTTACAGGTCTGTGAGAGCCAGAAATCTTGTTTGTTTGTAGGTGACCAAATACTTATTTTCCACCATAATTTGCAAATAAATTCTTTAAAAATCAGACAATGTGATTTTCTGCATTTTTTTCCTCATTTTGTCTCTCATAGTTGAAGTGTACCTAGGATGAAAATTACAGGCCTCTCTCATCTTTTTAAGTGGGAAAACTTGCACAATTGGTGGCTGACTAAATACTTTTTTGCCCCACTTTAAATGTATAACAATTAACAACAATCTTGCTGCAACAATGAAGCCAAATTATTTGTATACTTTAGTCCTGTTGCCACTCGCATATCTCATTATCTACAGCCACTTAACCGCTGTTTGTTTAACACATTTCTCCTGGGGGGGCACATCCACAGACCCCCCCACATTAAAGGCTCATCCCCTCATTAAATACACTCTTTGTCTCTGGCGACGCCACTGATAATGCTCAATGTCATTAGCGGGGCAGGAAGAGGGGATGGATTTAGCAGAGACTGGGGATGACAGACAGTCATGCTCATCTCCATCTGCAGCTGCTCGCTGATTTTCCTGACCCTGTCCGAATCCGGTGAGCAATCAACTGTGTATTACATTTAAAGCGGTTTGAAAACTAGTCGCTTCACAGTTTCATGATCACAGAGCTCCTACACATATCAAACACAATCTTTGAAGTAATTGCCTCACTTGGTCACTGCACTATTTCTAGGAAGAGAAACATGGATACATATTACGAACACGATAAGTGGCTGCAGATTAAGTCTTCCATTTGCAGATAGTATTATCAGTGTTAGTTTGCCGGAGGGACAGAGATGGGACACATATACTCAGTGTGTCGTGCCAAGCCCAAATCAGTCTGGCCAAGTGGAATAATCCATGCCAGCTATGTCTGCGCACAGTCTGCCAGGACTAACACAATCATAAAGACTGAAACACACACACACACACACACACACACACACACACACACACACACACACACACACACACACACACACACACACACACACACACACACACACACACACACACACACAACACACACACACACACACACACACACACACACACACACACACTACTACACACACACACACACACACACACACACACACACACACACACACACACACACACACACACACACACACACACACAAGCCAAGCCATGTGGGGGTAGGTGACAGTGAGCGACTCATGCAAGTCCTAAGTAGAAAATATTCTCATGATATCAAGTTTTGGGAAACATTGAGAGTAGTTTTTTTACACAATTTAATCAAATGATTAGATTGTGATTTGTTGAGTCCTACTGTATGAGTTACGTGTGTTGCAAATACAAACTCTTTCACATTTCAAAACAAACTGCTTGTATTATAGCTATCTTGGGACCTTAGTGTTCTCCAAACAAAAACATATTGGGAACTTTAAAAAGTGTTTAATATTGCACCACATGGGAATTGAGAGAATAAAAACATAGGGCTGGTTTAATTATTCGTTAATGATCAGTCAGCAGGGTGGTTCAATTCCTGCCAGTTGATTATTGACTAAACAGTGAGCAGGCCTGTGAGTGTGTGACAGGGAGTGAGGGGGGGTGAAAGAGAGGAGACAGACTTCATGAGTACCATGGCTCAAGGAGATTAAGATATGTGTGGTATGTGATCTCTTCCCATGCCAAAATAATCACGCCTCACAACCTCCGTTCACCTTTTATCTAGCCGTGCCCACCTCTTCTTCACTCCCAGGCCTGACAAGGACCTCTCAGGCAGGGATAATAGAATTAACAACCCTCTGAGACCGTCAACCGTGACCCCCCTCAGCTAACCCTGTGACCCCCTGATGGGTGAAGGGGAGCTGGCCTGATTCTGCCCTCCCACCCCTGTAACCTCCAAGGGCCTGTTTTTGTTCTGGCTACTCTGGCAACAAATCCCAAAAGCTAATTTCCTCGTCTGATGTTGCTCACTGGTTGTTTCTTAAGGTTATTGAACCTCTACTCCTCCCCTTCTTGGCTGCATTCCTCGAACAAAATGAAAATACTCTCACCATCCCTCCATTCGCCCTCACCGCTTCCTCCACCTTCCTCATTACACACATCCTCCTCTGCTGTCAGCAGCGCAAGACAAGCAGAGAGAAAACAGACGTAGTCACTAAAAATAGAAAACATCTCAAGTGCCTGAAATTATTCCGATAGTCTTTCATGAGGTGTTTCTGTCAGCGAGGCATATGAT